CGAAAGGCTGACAGCTTTTAAAGGTCTCGTTCATGCAACTCCTTTTACTAGTCATTCCCTTTTCTTCTTCCCATACTTAAAACATCAGTATACTCTGATTTCTCTTCAGATCACATAATCTTTCACCTTTTATTTATTTATTTATTTTAAATATATTTCTTTATTGATTTCAGAGGGGAAGGAAGAGGGAATGAGAGATAGAAACATCAATGATGAGAGAGAATCATTGATTGGCTGCCTCCTGCAGGCCCCCCACTGGGGATTGAGCCCGCAACCCAGGCATGAGCCCTTGGCCAGAATCGAACCTGGGACCCTTCAGTCCGCAGGCCGACACTCTATCCACTGAGCCAAACCGGCTAGGGCTCACCTTTTATACTTTTACACTTCCCCTGTCCCATCGTTGTTTATGCATCTCTCAGTTTCCATGACATCCACATGTTTTCCTCTTTTCTCCTGAGAGCCAAAGCCTGTGTCCAAGCCTTTAATTCAAGGTGCCTTCTCTAAGCTTCTGGATAACCCTATAAGGTAGGTGGCATAGCCCCGTTTGAGGGATGCTGCAACTGGGCTCAGCGGCAGGTGAGGGGAACATCCATTGGGGGACATCCATGGAGTCCTCTGCGGGCGCATGCAGAGCCTATGAGGTTACTGAGGTGACATGGGTTTCGCTTCCTGTCCCATTTGCTCCTCTCGAAAAGAAGTCGCCACCTGGCAAGGTGAGAAGGTCAATCCAGCCCGCCTTCTTGTGTGCCTTGGGACCCCCCAAGTTACATTGTTTCTTCCGCTGCCCGCACCTCATTGGCTCGCCACAGCGCATCCCCATTGGCTGCGGGTGCTGGGGACATGCCCTGATTGGTCCGTGCCTAGATGCTGGGTCTGCTTTTTGGCCAGGGCAGAAGCCATGGTCCCCACTCTGGCTGGCACAAGGCCCGCGGTCGCTGTCATCGCTGTCACTGCCATCAGGGCTTCCCGTGGCCTCCTGCCTGTCCAGAGAGTGGGGACGTCGTGTGCACAGGTGCCCATCGTTCCAAGAGTGAGTATCGATTACGTGCTGAGGTAATCACACCCACCCACCTCCAGAAAGGTGCACTTTGCCTTGTGTCAAGCCGGTGCATCTATCTAAACAGGTGAACATTTAGGTCTGGGGCCAGACTTCAATGCAAATGTTTGTATATGTCATTTTGACAACCTATATATATTTCTGACAATGACTGGACTTTTTTTTTTACGTGATCTGACAGGTGTGCCTAGGGTTTGAATGGATTACACTTGAATGCTTAAAAGTGGTGGAAAGTTTCTCTGAACCTTATTTTCTTAAATTTAGTCTAGGGATTGTGTGTGTGTGTGTGTGTGTGTGTGTGTGTGTGTGTAAGTCAGTTCTAAGCAGGTGTTTTAATAGGAATGCATTTGGTAATGAAATTATGCTTTGGTTTATAGATGAGAATTAACAGGAATATGGCATGTAGTAGGTATATACTATATCTATACTGAGTTCCCTCAATTCGCACACCTTTTAGATGCCCAAACCTGCTCAGTTTTCTGAGTCATAACAGAATATCCAGGTTCATCCCCTTGTCTAATTCCGCCCCACCCCTCTTATGTGGCAATTGGGCAGCATCGCTTTCAAAGGCTCTTTAAGCTTTTCAGAGGTGTGTGCCTCTTATTGTGAACAGTGCCAAGAACTGAATTAATGAGACTAAATTGTTAAGATCCAGAGAGGCCTTCGGGGTTAGGGTGGAACTAGCTGTTATTCCCTGTCCCCATGGTTGTCTCTTGATCTTCAGTTTCCTTTAGCTCTCTCAACCCAGGGCCTCTGCTTATCCCCAGGCCTGGGTGGTGTGGTCTTGGCTGTCCAGGCAACAGAACTCTTCGTGGTTTTAGTGTGGGAGAAGGAGCTGGGGAAGGGAGTGTTCGCATTAATCACGTATGGATCGCCATATGGTACACATGGTGCGCACCCTGGGAGGGACACCTTGCCTGCTGGATACACGGATCCTAAGACCTTACTGATACTGGGGTGGGGGCATTCTAGGTGGGAGGAACAGAGGTCGTTGGGCTGGAGAGCAGATGTTTCTTTTGTCGGTAGTGAGGGGAAGGGAAAAGGGAGATTCTGAGTTTCCCAGACTATTACAATGCAGATTTCCAGGCCCTGGGGATGCAGTCTCAGACAATACCCTTTAGCTTTTCTAATTCCTTATACTGTTGGGAGCGGTGTCCTGAACACTCTTTGCATCTGTACAGAGCTTTTTTGGGGAAAAGGTTTGTTTGTGCTTTCTCTTATTTTTAAATAAAAGATGACTTCCTGATTTCGTTTTTAGAGCTAGTTCCCCCAGTGCTAGCAAAAAGCCAGCCTTGGAATAAGGCAAAAAGGTCCTGCCCTCCCCTCCCCATCCTAGACTGTGACTCCTGTGGCACTTGTCCCGGCAGACCCATCCCTTCACACAGAAGGGACAGATCCAACTGTATTACTGCAACGGAGAGCTCTCCAAAAAATAGCTACTTAAGCGCCAGTCAGGTCCACAGTGCACGTTAATAAAGATAACTTGAAAAGAATGTCTTATGGGGAATTCATAGCAAATCATTCCTCGTGGAGAGCAGGAGGCAGCATTTAGGAGCAGAATATTTAAAACTGCACAAGGTCTAGTCACGCTCAACACGTCCTTGGCTTGATTCTCCCTTAAAGCAGAGTGGAAGGACCTTCTTCCATCTTCCTTGTGGCGGGCCCCACCCCCTCCCCGACCCCAACCCCGGCGTCTGCCAGCTCCGGACACCAAGAGTCTGGGGGAGGCGGGGTGAGGTGGAGGTCACAGGTCCCAGTTGCTGGGCAGGATGCTCTAGCGCCACCTTCTCCCCTAGCCGTGGCTGTGAAAGCTGCCCCCAGGGGGAGCAAGTAATGGGATGGTCTGCCCCCTATGGGAGAGGCCGAGGGCTGCACCCTTATCCCGTGCCTGAAACTGACCACACAGCCATCTAGATATTTTAGGAATGTCTTTGGGTAGAAGCCTGGGAGAAACCCAAGTTATCGGCATCGGCACTGGCAGAGTTCCAGATGTCCCACAGCCCGGAGGCCTTTGGTAATAGAATGTCTAGACTTAGAGAATCCGGGATTCTGGGAGGTCCCCGGTATTTTCACCTCCGTTCATTGACTTAAGGTCCCTGGTGTCCCGGTGCATTCATCTCCCTTACATTTAAATAAGTAAAAAGAAGCTATGTCCTTAGGTCAGAAGGGTCTCATTTTTCCAGCGGTTCTCAACCTGTGGGTCGCGACCCCTTTGGGGGTCACCTAAGACCATCGGAAAACACATATATAATTACATATTGTTTTTGTGATTAATCACTATGCTTTCATTATGTTCAATTTGTAACAATGAAATTGGGGGTCACCACAACATGAGGAACTCTATTAAAGGGTCGCGGCATTAGGAAGGTTGAGAACCACTGCCCTAGGCAGTTCCAAACCCTCATGGTTTCAGGGTGCTTCGTATGAAAGATGTACTGGCTTCTGGAAATTGGAGACTATGAAGGCGTGGCCTTGATATAACCCCGCCCGCGGGCTGGAGGGGCCGCTGCGGGTTCTGCGCTGTCCCTATGTGCCTGCCGCTGGTGTGACTCCTGGTAATGGATCGTACAGGAGCTTCCAGCCGTGGTCTGGGCAGCAACCCGAGGGAAAGCGATACCCTGGTGAAGACCACACTGTTGGTGGGAGACTTGCCTTCCGACCTAAAAGGCGTTTTCCAATCCCACGCTGCCCCCATTGGGTTCCTGACCTCTGGCCGGTTTCACCCCTAGAACTTAGTGGCAAAGCTTCCCCCCCCCCCCCCCCCCCCCCCCCCCCCCCGCTTCCCCGATACTCCCTCCACCGAGGAGATTCCGTTCCCAAGTCTCAGAAGGGCCTGGGGAGCATGTTGCCCACCAGATGCCGGGCCGCACCCCGGTAGCTTCAGATCCAGTGTTTTTGAGGCCTGGGCAGGCGGGGTGAGGTGGAGGTCACAGCTCCCAGTTGCTGGGCAGGATACTCTAGCGCCACCTTCTCCCCCAGCGGTGGCAGTGAAAGCTGCCCCCTAGGGGACAGTCTGTTTTCAACACTCTCCCCAAGTGACTGAAATACTGTACATAAAAACTGGCTGCGGCCATGCATTGTCCCTGCGCAGCAGGACTGAGCTCGGGGGAGAATGGGCCCAGCGAGGACCTCCCATTCTAATTCACTCAAAACCCCAGCACCGAGCACCTATTGGGGTCCAGAGGTGTGGAAGACGGAGCCTCTCTGTTCAAAGAGCTGGCAGAGCAGTGGTGGGGTGAGTGCCTGATGGAGGGGTCCATGCCTCAGGTAAGAGACCGGGTCCCTGACTCTTAGACCTGTCAGGTGTCGGTCCCAGAACCATTCTCTAAGTCTAGGTCACAAAGGGCGGCGTAATGATCACCTTCAGAACCCACTGGAAGCCGGACGAGCTAAACCCGCTTCTCTGTCGTCATGTGACTTTTTGCTTTCACAGGTAGAAGAGTGCATTCTCTTCTCTTTGAGGAGCACCTAAAGAATACAGCTTGATGGGTTATGTGTTCATATCTGTACACCTGTGTGACCACTGCCCAGGTGGCGGTGGGGTGTGTTCTGGCATAGGAAATACCACAGAGGGTGGGCCGCCTACCGGTTCAGCTTTTAACAGAAAGTAAAGAATACGCTCTCAGGGTACAGCTTGCTCTCCTTGGACACAGCAGTCCTGCACAAGGGTCTGGTGAGTACCTGCAATGTTCTGGAAGCTTCCTGGTATAAGGCAGCAGTGCCCTTCACCTGTAAGTTCAATATGAGCGGGTTTGTCTTTAGGATTGAACTTCAGTAACACATTTTGTGTCATCCATTGTTCACTACGTATCTACTATTGATTCTATTCATGGGTTTGGGACCCTTTACTTTCTTCCTGCTTCAATCTGCCTCCCTTTTTCTTCGATATTGTATCTTTATTATCTAGGGCCCCCAAAAGCATAATATTACATTGTAGCTTTTAATGGCGGCCGATGGAGAAGGCAGCGACCCCAGTCACGAAGCGGCGCCCTGGCCCCTGGCACAGGAGCTGGAGCCTCGGGTGGCCCGCCGACGCCTGTCCCAGGCTCGCCACCGAGCCACCCTGACAAAGCTCTTCGGTAACCTCCGGAGAATCGTCTACCAGCAGTCTGACCTCACAGCCTCGAAGGTAGGAGGACCTGAGCGTGGGGAGGGAAGGTCCTATAGGTGGAGGGGCTGTGGAGCCCGGTGGGGACGGGCCTGGAGATGCTCCTCCCCCCATTCCTACCCCTGAGGGCTGGGGCCTGCCTGGGTGGGTCAGCGGTCAGCTGTGGACACCGCATTGTGCTGCGCCTGCTGCTGCCTGGCTGTGCTCCGTGCCCTGCTCCACGAGGCCCGTCCGTCCCTGCAGGTGGAATCAGTCCTTCCTCCCGTGTGGTCCCACGGCCCTTTGTTTCTACCCCTGTTGGCACTAACTGAATGCTGGTTTGTGTTACCAGTAGTTGTTTCCGTGCCTGCCTCCCCTGATAGAATGTCAGCCCCTGAAAGCAGGGCTGGTCACCTGTTCGCCCCAGGCCCAGCACAGCTGTGTCCCCTTAGCATACATACCTGATGAGTATGTCGCTCCAGACAGCCATCAGTGGTCAGAGTAATAAACAGTATTTAGCAGTTCTTGTTTTTTAGTAATCTCACAGTTATCATTTTGACTTTAGTAATAATTTGGGGGCCCTAGATAATAAAGATACAATATTAAAGAAAAAGGAAGGCAGATTGAAGCAGGAAGAAAGTAAAGGAAGGAAGAGAGCAAGGGAGGGAGGGAGGGAAGAAGGAAGGAGTGGAGGGAGGGAGGGAGTAAGGAAGGAAGGAAGGAAGATAGGAAGGAGGGAGGGAAGAAGGAAGGAGTGGAGGGAGGGAGGGAAGGAGGATGGGAGTGTGGGAAGAACGCTTGTGATTCTAGTCTTGCAGAACAGGACATTCAGAGTTCAAGTTGATAGAGCACTTAAGTCTTCATATCAACTGGCGTGCATGCATTTAACAAATAAAACTATTGTTAGACTCGCACATTTACTATTAACCAGCCGGGTGCACATTGTGACCAGTGAGCGGAAGTTCACGGGGAGCCTGCTGCCCGCCTGGGGCTGACATCCACTCAGGCCGCCTCTAAGTCACCATTTATCCCACCGTCGAGTAGCACATGCAGTCGTTTGCCTTTTTGGCAGCCCTAGTAGTTTGCTGAACACAGCTTAATTGTTTCTGAATATTTTGGTGAGAAACATTAAACTTCATAAATAAATAAATAAATAAACGTCATGCCTTCTGCGCATCAGAACAAACTTCCTGCGCTTTTTATCAACAACGTGAAGGATGGTGATTTTGCATCCCGGGGCCTCAGACCCGGGAAGGGGCTCCTGAGTCTGCAAAACCAGGCTGTGCAGTGGGAGACCGGCCTGTCAGCGTTGTCTGTCTCTGTCCTCAGTGGCAGGTTCTGAACAGGGCGAAGAGTCACATTCAGGAACAGGAACAAGTCTTGGATAATCTGCTGAAGGTGAAAGGTAACAGGTCCTACCGGCCACCCCCATCGCCCTCCCAGGGGAAGAAAGGCTGGTTGGTTTTTCTATTAAAAACAGAGACATTGGGTTAAGTGAAGTGAATGAATATTTACTGAGTACCTGCTGTGTGCTAGGTAGGCACTGGGCTTGGGCCAGGGGCACGATGAGATTCACAGCCTGACTGACCTCAGGGTTGTCAGCTGTTGAAGGCACCTGACCTCACCTTGAGAGGCCAGAGAAGACGTGGGCCAGTGTTTGTCGGAACCTGGCTCCCTTCCTTGGCACTTGGTTTGGAACCAAGAGAGATGGCTGCTGGGAACTTGAGTTTTATGAGCTAGTGGAAGCTGAACTCTGAAAGGGATACTTTCGATGCCTTGAGTGAAACGGGCCAGTCCAAAAAGCCCTTTCTCTTCACATCTGGAAGGAGGGGTGCAGCTGGGCTCTTGACCCCCTACCACCAACCCCGGTTGGGCTCAGGGACCCCCATGCTCCCCTTGGAAAGACAGGAGAGACTCAACAAAGGCCCAGCTTTCCCCCTTGCCTTCAACTCCCCAACAGAATCCTTCAAACTGCAGGATGGAAATGCAAACAGCTTAGAGGAGGTCAAGGAAAACTATGCCAGCATGTTCTCCAGAAATCACAGGTAAGACCCGGCCCTGGGAGCACCGGGGCCTGCTGGTGTCGCCGTCCGCTGTCACGGAAACTGCTTTCCGCTGCAGCATGGGAAGAGCGGAGGAGGGCTGCTCACCGGTTAGAACCCTCTGGTGCTGGGGAGAATTCTTTCCTATTTTACCTTATAACATACCTTGGATTTTGTTTTCTGATGATAAAAATCTCTGCTTATTACAGAAAATATCAAGAGTACAGAAAAGCCCTAAAAAGGAAATTAAAATACATATTGTCTCACCTCAAGAAAAACCAATGTTAATTTCAAAGCATAGCCTTCCATTAAAAAAGTTTTTTTGCACATTATTTTATGGAAAGATGAGATCAAGTATTTATTTTGTATTATAGCTTTTACAAACTCAGTAGTGGCCTTATTGGCGGGTGCAGATGAAAACAAGGAAAATCCAAAGCTCAGCCTGATTCCCAAGCTCCACAGGAGCCAAGAAAAGCCAGTGTGGACTTCTGAGAGTTTGGATCATGAATGGATGTTGACTTTTGCCAAGTGCTTTTTCTGCATCTAGTGAGATTGTAAAAATCATACTATTTTAAAATCAAATATTGATAAGATTTTTAGTCTGTTGATATGGTGAGTTACATGGATAGATTTTCAAAGTTTAAAACAACTGTCTCACATTCATAGAATAAACCCCACTTGGCCATAATATATTAGCACACACGCGCGTGTGTTATAATATATGACCTGTATGATGTATATCATATATAACATATCATATATATCTGCTAAGACTGTTAAGAATTTTGATGTCAATGTTCATGAGGGACATTAATCTGTAGTTATCTTGTTTCTGTTTTCTCACCAGCCTGCTCCCAAATAAGGTTCATCCAGAAGACTTTGACAACTTGTACCCATTTGAGGAAGTCGGAAAGGATGCTGAGGAGGAAGACGATGAGGAGGAAGAGGAAGAGGAGGAGGAGGAGGAAGACCAAGAAGAGGAGGAAGAGGAGGAGGAGGAGGAGGAAAAAGTGGAGCTCTTACACTCCCCAGTCACTTTGCCACACGACCTCATGGAATTTGAACGGTGTGAACAGCTGAGCGAGGTGGCTCTGTGCACAGCTGGAGCTCCTGTTGGGGAAGGGGCGAGGCTCAGCTGGGCAACACTGCGGCCTCAGCGAGCGCTCAGGCCAGGCCCTGAGCCGTGGATGCTCAGAATTTCCATACAGGAGGGGCTGGGGGATGGGTTGGCAGAAAAGCTAAAGAAATAGTCTTGAAGTTACATTTGCATAGCACATAACTGTGTTTACTTAGACTGTGTTTGGGGGTGCCTTTGGAAGGGGGGTTGATGGTGATTATAAGGGCTAGAGCCCCCTCTCACACACACACCCCAAAAGTCTGTTTGGGGCAGCATTATAGTAAGAAAGATGAGAATGGCTGGCTCAGACTCCCACTGCCACTCCCCGCCCTCCATAGACTGAGCCCCTTGACAGCCACATCAGCTTCCGGGGCGTTGGCTCAATAGATGGGAGGCTCTGTCCACAACTGAGCCTGACTCTCAGGCCTCAAGTCTAAGCGGTGTCACATCACGTCTGCACATCCATGGGCTCAGAATTTTAAGCAGTTTTCCTGTGGGGTGAGAGCTGCGCCAGCCACGCCTCTCACCGTCTGGTTTATAAGGCACAGGATCTGGGAGGATGTGAGGAAGGGCTGGGAAGCAGAAATCTGTCTCCATGGCCCTGGAGATGGCATCTGCTCTCCAAGGCTCAGGGCCCCCAGAGACTAGCAGTGCCAAGCCCCTGGCACAGCACAGAGAGGGGGCCACACGGGGTCCCGAGGAGACGGCCTGGGGTGGGGGCCCTTCAGGTCTGGGAGCTGCTGTCTTTTCTGCTCCAGGTACCTCAGCTTTTACAAGCAGACAATGGACCTCCTGACCAGGAACGGGATTGTCTCCTCCCAGGACGTGACCCTGCCCGTGGTCTCCGCGGCCATCTCCCACCTGTGGCAGACCCTCTCCGAGGAGAAGAAGGCCGGCCTCCTGCAGGCCTTGGAGCAGAAGCACAGCGGCCTGGCGGGCCTCGAGGGGGCCCCCCAGGAGCCAGCCTATGCCGAGGACAGCATGAAGGACAGTGGAGTCGACAGCCAAGGGGCCAGCTGCTCGCTCGAGTCCACCCCGGAGGAGGTGAGCGGTCCCTGGGGGTGGAGTGGAGGGGGTCACTCCAGCAAGTCTGAGGAGCTGTTCGGGTCCTGGCCCACGTGCTCAGTGTCTGATTTTCCTGACACCATCTCCACAACCACAGGAGAGCATTTCTTAGTCTTCGGTTTGTTTCCCGGCCTTTCCCTGGAGGTTATAGAAGAGAAGCCTCAGCCTGGCCCGAGTGGCTCAGTGGTTGAGCATCAACCTACGAACTAGGACCGTGATGGCGAACCTTTTGAGCTCGGCGTGTCAGCATTTTGAAAAACCCTAACTTAACTCTGGTGCCGTGTCACATATAGAAATTTTTTGATATCTGCAACCATAGTAAAACAAAGACTTATATTTTTGATATTTATTTTATATATTTAAATGCCATTTAACAAAGAAAAAATCAACCAAAAAAATGAGTTCGCGTGTCACCTCTGACACGCATGTCATAGGTTCGCCATCACTGAACTAGGAGGTCATAGTTCAATTCCCGGTCAGGGCACATGCCTGGGTTGTGGGCTCGATTCCTAGCCCAGTATGGGGCGTGATGGAGACGGCTGACCAATGATTCTCTCTCATCATTGATGTTTCTGTCTCTCTTTCCCTCTTTGATATCAATAAAAATATATATTCAAACACAATAATAATTAAAGAGAATAAGTTTTTAAAAAGAAGAGATGCCTTAGATCAGCGGTTCTCAACCTGTAGGTCGCGACCCCTTTGGGGGTCGGACGACCCTTTCACAGGGGTCGCCTAAGACCATCGGAAAACACATATATAATTACATATTGTTTTTGTGATTAATCACTATGCTTTAATTATGTTCAATTTGTAACAATGAAATTGGGGGTCACCACAACATGAGGAACTGTATTAAAGGGTCGCGGCATTAGGAAGGTTGAGAACCACTGTCTTAGATGGTTGTATCAGCTGGGCTTTTTATCTGCAAGTTCCTGGCTCATTAAACCCTGAAGAAATGGACTGCTCACACCCAGGGAGGTCCCAGGGCAGGGCGGGGTCTGGTCAGCATCTCAGTGATGTGACCATGGACTCCGTTTGTCTCTCTGCTCTGCTTCAGCTTAAGGCTGGTTTCTCACCTTCCCTGTCCTCCCCAGTTTCCCTGCCTCTCTGACTCCCACAGCAATCGAGCTGTCATTCCTCTCTATCAGGTTAGAGAGAGAAAGATGTCCTGTGGCTGATTCTCAAGGATCAGGAAGAACTTTTCCAGAAATGCCCATCAAACGTCTTTTCTCTCATTGGCCAGATTTGGCCAGATTGACAGATTACTGAGCCAATGACCTGCATAATCAAGGTCAGATTGCATTTAGACCAGTCAGGCCCAGTCTCTGAGAGGAGTGTCAGTTCTCATCCCGAAGAGCATTGCTACCGTTCAGTGAAGTTGGCTTTGGCCAACCCAGGGCTGGGTGACAAGGCCAGCAGAACAAGGAGCAGTTATGTCCCACGTAGAGACAGAGCCACTGTTCCTGTGGCTTCTGAAGTAGTTGCAGCTCCTGGTCCATCTGGCGTGGTTCTGCTGTGGAACAGCTGTGTTCGGAGCCAGGCCTGGACTCTGGGTCAGGGGGTGCTGGGTGCTCCAGAAGGGCGGTGGGGCCTGCCTGTGCCCCTCCCGGGCTGGCTTGTGAGAGGGTTGCCTGGTGGGGGCAGCGTGTGGCCTGCAACTTCAGTGGGCAAACTGGCTGAGGGCAGGGATTTAGGTCCTGGGCCCCTGCCCCTGGCCCGGGGGGAGGCACACAGAGGTGAAGGGCCTCTGGGAGCTCACTGACCCTCCCCAGATCCTGTTGGAGATGACCAAAGGGATAGCTAAAAGAGGGCACAGGAAATGTCTAGAAAACCAGGAGGGGGCCATGCACAAGGCCAGAGTCCCAAGGGGTTCGGTTCAGGGGAACCACATTGTCTAAGGACTTGAAGGGCAGACACAACTCCGGGCGGAGAACCCCCGCTCCTCCCTGGGGGCTGCCTGTGTGACCGGTGCCGGATAAAACAGCCCAGCAGCGAAATTGTTCGTGTGAGAAGGTTCCGTGCAATCGTTCATCTAAAATTCAAATTTAACAAAGTATCCTGTATGTTTATTTGCTAAATCTGGCAATCTTAAGTGTATCTCACATTCCTGTGGAATATTTAATATTCTTCAGCAAGTTAAGGAGAAGCGGGACCAAAAACTGTCTAAAAAGCAAGATTCCCAAGTTGGGGATATATGCCATAATATGCCTAGGGGAAGGATGGAGGGAAAGAAATCATTATATGCTAACAATGGGCCTCTCCAGGTGGGATTGTTTCTTGGTGATTTTTATTTTTTCTATCGGTTTCTATTTTCACGATAAACATGTATTTCTTTTATAAAGCAGACAATATTCAATAATAGCTAATATGGCCCTAGCCAGTTTGGCTCAGTGGATAGAGCCTGTGGACTGAAGGGTCCCAGGTTCAATTCCGGTCAAGGGCACATGCCTGGGTTGTGGGTTCAATCACCAGTAGGGGGCCATGCAGGAGGCAGCCAATCAATGATTCTCTCTCACCACTGATGTTTCTATCTCTCTCTCCCTCTCCCTTCTTCTCTGAAATCAATAAAAATATATTTTAAAAAAAATAGCTAATATGTTTGAGCCATGATGTGCCTGGTGCCTCACACAGCTCTTATTTAATCCTTGCAAAACCCTATGAGTAGGCACTGTTGTGATTGCTGCTTATAGAGGAGGATTCGAGAGATGAGGTCACTTGTCTGAGGTCACCCAGCTTACTGAGTGGCAGGGCTGGGTGTTGGCTCTCCTGCAGCCTAACTCCAGAGCCGAGTTATGGCTCAAATGGGCTCTGCATCTGCAGAGGTGTAGACGAGCCCTCCTCCAGGTAAACTGAGGCTCAGCTCTGGCTGCTGCATCTCACACTGTCTTCTTTAGAAAGAGGAAACCACCGTCCCCAGCACCTCCCTCTGGGGTCGGCAGTTTGTTCTGGGTGGGCAAGAGCTTCATATTCCCCTCCTGGGAAGGTCACCAAGCAGAGACCCTGAGAGTCTGATTGGGCCCAGCATTCATGGGCACGCCCTTCGGAGCTGAGGGGGAAAGAGAGACAGTCTTGCTCCTCATCCTGCATCAGCCCAGGGCAAAGGTCAAACTGTTCTGTGCTTTCTTTCAGCTCCTTTTTGAAGATGCCTACGATGTGGCATGTTTCCTGGATAAAAGTGAGGCATCTAGCTCCAGGTGAGGACAGGGTATGAGATGGTGTGTGTGTACACATGTATGTCTTGTGTGTGCATGTGTGTACGTACATGTGTGAGTGTGTGCATGTGTGTGTGTGGGGGGTACCCCTGCTGGGATGTTTCGGAGCCTCCCCTGCAGCCCTTCAGAGGGGTGCATAATTCAGTGGGAATTCTTGGGGATCCATTTTTTCCTGTGATTCGAAGTGGGCTGGTCCTAGGACTGTGCCATTGCCCTGGGGACAGTATTGTCTGGGGTTCTTCTGCACAGAAAAGTCTTCCATCCTGGCCCAGGGCTGACACACAGGTCATCAACTCCAGATTGTCCGTGTTGCCCTGTTTTCCCGGGGTAAGGTGGCCACGGGCAGGTTACAGCCTCGGTCTGACTGAGAGGCGGCGGGGGGCCTGGCCCCGAGAAACTGAGTCAACATGGAAACAGGCCCCATGTCCCTCTCCCTTCCTCTCTGAAATCAATAAAAAATCTTTTTTCTGCTTTGCCCGGGAAAGGTGGGGGCTGCTGCCAGAAGGTTCCCAGCTGGCTGGAATGTGAGGTCAAAATGCCAGCTGTCCTGGCATGACTCCCGGCTTCTTTGCTCTGGGTCCCTGGGTCCCTGGGTGTTGGCCTCTCTCCTTGTCCCAGGAAGGCCGGGGGAAAGGACTCTGCAAAACAGGCCTTTTCTCTGCATCCGTGTTCCCCTTGAGACCTGGGTGGAGGCATCTGAAGGGACTGAACTCAAGTGTGCGATGTGCCCGCAGGTGGGCCAGAGCCGTGGGGCTTCGCTGTAGAGGTTGACTCCTAGGGACAGAGGACATCTTGTCCCTTTGTTCCCGAGGCCATAGCTCAGGGCCCTACATTAGGACCCAGGAGCCAGTCCCCCCATTGTCTCACTTTCCCAGCGGGTGCCAGACGTGACATTGAGCTGAGGTGATGCAAACCTTCCAAGAAGGACTCCTGGCTCTCCGGGGACTCAGCTGGGTGTTTGAAAGTGCTTGGTTCACACCATCATCCGAGTTTTTAGGGGGTACAAGCAGAGGTCAAAGAGTAGGATTCAAAACATTAGCTGTTTCTCTCCTTCTCTGCCGTCAGTTCTCTGTTCGCCAGCTGCAACCCAGAGAACCCAGAAGAAAAGTTTCAGCTCTACACGCAGATCGTCGACTTCTTTAAAGACCTCTGCTGTGTCCACACTCAAGAGAAGCAGGTAGGACGGAGCGGAGTGGGAGACCTCCGCCCCCTCCCCTCCATCCGCAGGGTCCAGGTCCCTTGGGGGGAGCTAGATCTCACCCGGATCACACCACAAGGCCAGGTGGGGGCGCTCTCTCATTCTCTGTGGCCTGCCCATGGATGCTCGACTTCAACCTAAGGCAGCCTGTGGGATGGAAGACTTCGGGGAAACTGAGGGGAGAGAGAGGGATGCCCTTTAGGGCAGACCTTGATGTAGCGACCAGGTCCCAGGGCCTGGCTCGTACCAGGAATTCCTAAATGTCCTGTGACTCCTTGACTCCTTGCCAAGAGGCAGGGCTGTTTCCCCATCCAGACCCCGGGCAATATTTGCTCTCAGCTTTGGGAAGATGTTAATTTCTGGCGGTGGAACTTGTAATGACATAAGTAGCACGGGTCTTGGTTAGGAGGTATATTCTGGAAGCTTTCTTGGGGGGAGGAGCTTATGCCAGAGCCATGAAGCTTCATAGCCATAGCTTTGCTGTACTAATTTAGAAAAACTGCAATTGTTTGTCTTAAAAGGTAAGCAGTAATAATGAGAGTGTCTGTGTAAAAATAACCAGGACAGCTTTTCAACTGGCTGGGGAGTCGCGTGGCCCTTTTCCCATGGAGCCCTGGTGAGAACGCATTAGTGGGACAGTCGTTGCTCTCCCTGCCTCCTCGCTGCACTCGGGGCAGAAAAGGAAGAACAAGCAGGGGTGGGAGTAGCCACACAAAGCAGAGGCGCTCAAACTGGGGTCACCTTGAGAGCGTCTTGGAAATGCGGGTTCCCGGGGCCCCAACCCCCAAGGTGCTCACTCAGTGTTTCGAGGTGGGACCCCAGGAATCTGTATTTTGAACAGGTTACTCCAGAGCAAGCATGTCAAACTCAAAGGCTAACACGGGCCAAATAAACAAGGCATGCGGCCCACGGGCCGTGAGTTTGACCTGCTTGCCCTGGAGGTTCTGGTGCAGGAGGCCTGGGGCCTTCAGAGCTGCTGGTGTGAAGAGGGAACTTCCGTTCTCTCCCCATCCATCCCCCTGTTGGCTCCGTGGGAGGTGGCCGAGTGACACTTCATTGTTGGTGCCACACACCAGCACCAGCTCGGAGGTGCACAACTCCTCATTCTGGAGGCCAGAAGGCAAATGAAAGTGTAGGCAGGGCATGCCATCGTCTCTGGAAGCTGGAGGGAGGAATCCCGCCACGCCTGGTCCTCGCTTCTGGCGGCCCGCAGCCCTCGCGCTCCTGGCGGGCAGCAGCATCCCTTCAGCCGCTGCCTCTGCCTTCACGAGCCCTTCTTCTGTGCCTCTCGGTCCCTCTCATCTTCTTATAAGGATGCCAGTCATTGGGATTGAGGGCCACCCCGAGTCCAGGATTTCATCTCAAGAACCTTAACTCATCATAATTGCAAAGACCCCCTTTCCAAATAAGGTGGACAAGAACTTGGGGGAACACTAGTCCACACACTGCAGCACCCCAATTCCTGAAAACACCGCTCACAGCTGTTGCTCTTGCAAACCTGCAGCTTCACATGCCTCAGACGCCATTTTCAGGGGCTTAAGGAACTAGAACATTTTGAACATTATTCGAGCACTTTGTGTGACAGACTTGAGTGTCTGGACCCCTTGCATCCCCTGTACTCCGACTCTCTCTTTTCTCAACCTTTGCCGTTGCCTTCACCCTGAATAAGGGGCCTGGGTGATCGTCCTCTGACCACCGGACCCCCCTCGGATACGCTGGCTCCCCGTGCACCCGCCCCTCAGGAGAGCACGAGAATGAGGACCTTTCTCCTGAGCTGGAAAGGCTTCATCTGCAGGCTCATCCCCCAATCTGGCTGTCACCCTGGGACCAGGTTCCCCATTCATGAGATGGTTACCCGGGAATGCCTCCTAGGGCCCCAGGGGATCAACCCCAGACCAGCAGGGCTACCAGAGGACAGGGGTCATTTCCTGCTGGGGTGGGGAGAGGCAGCACGTGCAAAAACCTGGGGACGTACTTTCAGAGGGAGAGGTGACGGGGGATTCGCAGAGGTTGGCTGGGGTCCTTGTAAAGGGAATGAGGAACTCTTGCTAAACAGACATGGTGCTGCTTCTTGAAAAAAACAATCTCCTAACAGCGCACCCATGTTCAACTTCCAGTTACCAAAAGGCACACAAGGAAAACAGTGTCTTTCCTACCAGCGCCCCTTGGTTACGACCCAGCCCTACCTCAAAGGCCACCGCCACAACCAGTTTCTTGAACAGCCACCCAATGTTTATGTATTCTTTCAAACACAAATGGCGGTCTACTGTGCACCTTGCTTTGCATCTTGTCCTTTTTTAAAAAAACATTTTTGACTTTTATTTATTTATTTTTTTAGAGAGAGAGGAAGGGAGAGGGAGGAAGAGAGAGAAACAGCGATGTGAGAGGAACATCAAACACTAATTGGCTGCCTCCTGCATGCCCCGCACCGGAAATGGAGTCTGAGACCCAGGAATGGAACCAGCAACTTTTTGGTTCATGGGACGATGCTCAACCAATTGAGCTACACCAGCCAGGGCTCTTGCCCTTTTAAATTAGTATGTCCCACAGAGAGAGAGCGATTACATTCTTTTTTTTGAAACATGGTGTTCCACTGGTAGATGCGTCACGGTGTAATTCAAAGCCCTCTATTGATAAGCATTTGAATAAAGCTTTAAGACTTCGCCTGTCTCCCTTCTGGGCTCCTGGAATTCCCCAGGATAGGAAAGAAGCCAGTCTGCAGTATCCAGGAAAAGCCTTTTTTGTAGTCAATGAGTAAAATGGACATGGGACCTTCCCCCCACTGCCCTTACTTCCTGGCCGTAAGCTGTGGGTGAAGATGCAGCTGAAAAGATGTGGGTAGAGACTGGGGGAGCAGGGCACGCCTGCGGTGGAGGAGCCTCCTCACCCCCCAACCTGGCTGTCGCCCAGGGCCAGGAATCCTTAAAAAATATCAATCCTCTTCCACCCTGTATGTTGCAGGAAGCAGACCTTCCCATAGACGACGAGCTGTTGATGTTGCAGTGCTTGGAGACCTTTGATGATGAAGATCTGTAGTGCAGAAGGGCTGGGAGGGGAGGCAATGAATGACGTGGACAGTTTCCAAGTCTGAATGCCCGCTGCACCCGCCTCGGCCTTCTGGGATATTTTGGATGGGCTCTCCCAGAAGCATGTCGATGGTTTTCGTTTTGATTATTATAAAGCATTAAGAGCAGCGTGGCTGTGTTGGTCTCTCAGGTGTTTGGTGAAGGGGCTGTCCTGCAGGGCACACACCTGCTCCCCCTCTGCTCCTTTGGGCGGGTGGTGCCGGGCGCCGCTGAGGTGCAGGCCCTGGGCCTTCCCAGAGAAGGACAGGCAGCACCTGTCTGTGGAGGTGCCAGGATCCTGGGTACTTTCCGTGCACTCTGGGGTCAGGTTGTTGTTCTGCGGGGTTCTGGAGAGTCCTGGGGACCACCTGTCCATCCTGCATGCTCTGGGAGCCCGGAATGGTGCTGACCCCAAACGAGTGCTACAGGACACCAGTCAGGGTGGGACCAGCGACACCTGCTTCTTCTGGTGATAAAGACCCCTGAAGGGAGCCCACGCCAGGTCCCAGCGCTTTCCAGCGAGGCTCCTGGACAGAGAGTGTATCATGTCCCTGGGCATGTACCCTGGGAGTGATGTTCGGTCAAACATTATTCTAGATGTTTCTATGATGGTATTTTGGATGAAATGAACATGTAAATCAGTAGACTTTGAGTAAAGCAGGTTACTCACCCTAATGTGGTGGGCCTTGTCTAATCAGTTGAAGGACCAACTAGACCAAAAGAAAAGACTTAAGGAAGAAGGAATTCTGCCAATGACAGCCCTCAGAGACTCAGGCTGCAACTCTCCCAGCCTACTAGGGTCTACCCTGCAGATTTTGGACTTGCCAGCCTCCACAATCCAGGAGCCCATGGCTTAAAGGCTCCGTCTCTCTCTCTCTCTCTCGCGCGTGTGTGTGTGTACAGCACACATGTACATATATAGTACATAGATAACATGTATATATGTGTGGGAACATATATGTATGTAGGCATGTGAATATATGTATGTGAACATACACACATATGCTATTGACTTGTTATCTCTAGAGAACCCTGACGAATCCACTGAATGTACTGAGAGAATGGGGATGGGTTTGCGTGGCTCTTTACAGTTTACACATCTTAGCAACAGTAGCTCCCCTCCACCGAAGGCTGTTTCATCTGTCTGCCCCACAGCCCAGCTCTCACCGCTCACCGTCCTGTGATGCAGGAGGCAGCCCCAAGGACGCCCACTGGGGGGTGCAGGGCTGCAGCTTTGTTGGCACCTGACTGTTTGCAAACTGCAGGGGCACAGAGGGGAGGGCCTGGAGGGGCCAGCAGGGCCACCTGCCTCGTTGGGAAGAGACCTGTTCTTTCAGCCAACAGCCCCATCTTCGTCCCCTGCTCCACCCGAGGCTTCTTCTCCCAAGGCATCAAAATGTCCTAAGAACATGCAGACTGCGGGAGTTTTGATGGGGATGGACATCAGGCTACACTGGTTTCCATGACAGACAGCAGGGCTGGAGCCAGGGAAGGATGCAGCCTGAGGCCAGGCCGCGGACGGAGTGCCAGGTCACAGCATGCTTGTCATGGTCTTCACCGACTGCGTACTCGGCTGCCACAGTGTATGGGACGCTGGGGGTGCTCAGGAGGGTGTGATCCCATGGCTGCACGGGGAGACCAGCACATTCTGGGTTGGGGTGGGGTGGAGAGGGCTTGGGGACGTGCATCAGAGAGACAGCCTCACATCCGGGTCTCTATGGCACCCTCTGGGCGCACTCCTGAGAAATCCTGGGAGCAGAGTGTGAGCTGACTCACTCCCATCTCCCCTTTCCCACCAGGTTCCAGCCTGGGCCAGAAGGGGAGGAACCGGGTGCAGGAGGAAGTGCAGCACTTGGTGCCAATCCCACAGGGGAGGCCGTAGATCTCCAAGACCCTCGTAGTGTCCTCCGACCCCTGGGCTTGATTCCATGCCAGGAAGCCTCGCTCCTCCAGACTTCCTGAGAGGAGACAGGGAGCAGTCAAGACTGGGCGCAGGGAGAGTGGGCGAAGGTGAGCTGGAAGGCGCCTCTGGTGCCCCCTGCAGGCACTCGTGAGGTCTCCTCTCAGCGCCCTCCACCTGCCAACAGAGCCGCCAAGCCCATGGCAGGAATCACAGCTCAGCTCCACCCGGCTCCTCAGGCATCCCTGAGCCCCAGGTGGGGCTGTCCGTGCAGAACTCGGGCAGGACCTTCTATGAACCACTGTCCTGTCATTGGGGCTGGCTTTTCCACATGTTAATGTTTCTGGAATGCAGACACATTTTACACGTGGAGGGTACAGGAATGTGGAAAAGAGAAGAGAAGCAGATGCTATCATAGAGGTCCTTGCAAGAGGCTGTGGGAGGGTCAAGAAGGGAGCATGGGGGCTCAGCCGGAGTGGCTAAGTGGTTGAGTGTCGTCAACCTATGAACCAGGAGATCACGGTTCGATTCCCAGTCAGGGCACATGCCTGGGTTGCAGCTTGATCCCTAGGGTCGGGTGTGCAGGAGGCAGCCGATCAATGATTCTCTCTCATCATTGATGTTTCTCTCTCTCTCTCTCTCTCTCTCTCTCTGAAATCAATGAAAAAAAATATTTTTTTTTAAGAAAAGAAGGGAGCATGGGAAGCCATCGATGATGGTAGCTCTGCGCTCTCCACCTTCCACACCCTCAGCACGTAGAGACCCAGTTGGCTCGTCATCATACTTATCACCTCGGATGGCAATTGCTTGCTTTCTGGACTCTCTCCCACAGTAGCCTGTGGGTTTCTGGGAGGCAGGGGGCATGTCTTTCTGCTCTTCATATTCTCAGTTCCGGGCCACCGGAAAGAAGCAAGTATTGCAGTGATGGCGAACCTTTGAGCTCGGCATGTCAGCATTTTGAAAAACCCTAACTTAACTCTGGTGCCGTGTCACATATAGAAATTTTTTGATATTTGCAACCATAGTAAAACAAAGATTTATATTTTTGATATTTATTTTATATATTTAAATGCCATTTAACTAAGAAAAAGCAACCAAAAAAATGTCATAGGTTTGCCATCACTGAAGTATTGTGATAAAGTGAGTCATAATCTTTGTGCTGGTGAAGTTTGTTTAAAAAAACACACAACAGCCCTAACCGGTTTGGCTCAGTGGACAGAGCGTCAGCCTGCAAACTGAAGGGTTGCAGGTTTGATTCCAGTCAAGGGCATGTACCTTGGTTGCGGGCACATCCCCAGTAGGGAGTGTGCAGGAGGCAGCTGATCGATGTTTCTCTCTCATCAATGTTTCTAACTCTCTATCCCTCTCCCTTCCTCTCTGTAAAAAAAATCAAAATCAATAAAATATATTTTTTAAAAAATAAAAAATATAAAAACACACACAACATAATATCTGTGAAGCACAATAAAGTGAAGTGCAATAAAACAGGGTATGCCTGTACATAGCACCAGGAATACAAGTGCTCAAGGGGTTTCTATTAAAAACTAGAGGTCTGGTGCATGGATTTGTGCATTGGTGGTGTCCCTTGGCCTGGCCTGCAGGGATCAGGCTGAAACCGGCAGTCCAATATTCCCTGAGGGGTCCCGGAGTGGGAGAGGGCACTCTGCAAAGTTGCTGTCGCTCAGCAGCTCCTGCATTGAGCATCTGCCGCCTGGTGGTCATGTGCATCATAGCTACCAGGCGGTTAGCCCACCTGGTCACTTAGGCTTTTATATATATAGACTAGAGGCCCGGTGCACAAAAATTTGTGCACTTGGGGTGGTCCCTCAGCCTGGCCTGTGCCCTCTCACAGTCTGGGACCCCTCGGGGGATGACCACTTGCTGGTTTAGGACCGCTCCCTGGGGAATTGGGCCTAAGATGGCAGTCAGACATCCTTCTGGCAGCCCGGCAGCCCTTGGGGGATGTCCACTTGCCAGCGGGGAGCAAGCCTAAGCTACAGTCGGACATCCTTAGCGCTGCTGAGGAGGCGGGAGAGGCTCCTACCACTACCGCTGTACTGGTAGCCATCAGCCTGGCTTGTGGCTGAGCAGAGCTCCCTCTGTGGGAGCTCACTGACCACCAGGGGGCAGCTCCTGCATTGAGCATCTGCCCCCTGATGGTCAGTGTGTGTCATAGTGACAAGTCATTCCCAGTCTTTCAGCTGTTAGGGTCAGTTTGCATATTACCCTTTTATTATATAGGATAGAGGCCTGGTGCACGGGTGGGGGCCAGCTGTTTTGCCCTGAAGGGTGTGCCAGATCAGGGTGGGGGTCCTGCTGGGGTGCCTGGCCAGCCTGGGTGAGGGGCTGATGGGTGTTTGCAGGCTGGTCACACCCCCTTCAGGGTGGGGGTCCCCACTGGGGTGCCTGACCAGCCTGGGTGAGGGGCTGATGGGTGTTTGCAGGCTGGTCACACCCCCTTCAGGGTGGGGGTCCTCACTGGGGTGCCTGGCCAGTCTGGGTGAGGGGCTGAGGGCCATTTTCAGGCTGGCCAAGCCCCCCAGTGACGGAAGCTCCCAGCTTCTCCTTTTTTTCTTTTCTTTTTTAATTCTGGGATTTATTTACCTTCTATAATTGAAACTTTGTTGCCTTCAGTGGAGCTCAGAGCTGGCCAGGAAGCTTGGCTTCCTCCATCACTGGAGCAACCAAGCCTCCTGCTTGCTTCAGCTCCATGGCTGCCGGCCACCATCTTGGTTGGGTTAATTTGCATATAGTCACTCTGATTGGCTGGTGGGCATGGCTTAAGGCATAGCGAAGGTATGGTCAATTTGCATGTTTGTCTTTTATTAGATTAGATACTAGTGAATGAGTGAATGAATGAATGGATACCTGCATTCTCTCCCTCATCAATTAGACTGCAGGCTCTAAGAGAGCCAGGCCTATGTCTTTTTCTTTTTGCTTCTGGTGTATTTATCACCTTAGAGCCCCATGATGGGCTAAATTGTGTCCCCCAAAAAACTATGTTGAAGCCCTAGTGATTGTATTTGGCGATAGGAGCTTTTAAGAGATGACTAAGTTAAGGAGGGGGGCTTTGGGGTGGGCCCTAGTTTAATCTGATGGGTGTCTTTATAAGAAGAGGAGACTAGAACACATAGAGAGATCCCAGGGATGCACACCCACAGAGGAAAGGCCAAGTGAGGACACAGTGAGAAGGCAGCCGTTTGCAAGCCTAGGAGAGAGGCCTCAGGAGAAACCAACCCTGCCAACACCTGGATCTCAGATTTCTAGGCTCCAGACTGTGAGGAAATACATTGTGATTGTTTAAGCCCCCAAGAAAGCTAATACAGACCCATATGCCCCACCCAGACCCATGGCCCATGCAGACTGTGGCCAGCCTGACCTGGTAATCAGTGCTGGAGAAACAAGGCGAGTGGCCCACATGCTGGCCACCTACCAGAACAGCTAGCTTACAGCGCGAAGGGAGCCCTACCTGGGATGGTGTTGTCCAGTAGGAAGGCCAGAAATCCACCGACAAACATGCCTGTGGTCAGTAGCACCTGGATGACCTGGTCCAGCTGGAGAATCCCTGGAGTGGAGATAAAGTGATGAGGATTCCCAGGGCGCGAGGGCCCCATTGGCCCAGCCCCTGGGGTGGTCATGGTCCTGAGGCTGGCAAGTCACCTGTCTGGAGCAGGTCCGAGTTCTTGCTCACCCAGTTGGGAATGGTGAGCCCACAGTAGATGGAGAAGCCAAAGACAAAGAGGTTCCTGGACGAGTTCATGTCCACGTGCTGCGGGGAGAGAGGCCCCGGCCGCCCGGAGATGCCAGTGCTGTGGCTGCACCCCCAGCTGACACCCCTCCAAATGCCCCTTCCTCCCGCCGCCACCATAGGTGTGGGGGCAGGAGGCTGAACTCAGCAACACATGCTCTCAGTGGACAAGTCAAGCTCCAATTCCCACTTGACCTTGGGAGCTGAGTGGTTTGGGTAATCCAATTCAAACTGATACAATTTCTGGTTTGGGGTGCTTCTTTTTTTTTTTTTAAATATATTTTATTGATTTTTTACAGAGGGAGAGAGATAGAGAGTCAGAAACATCGATGAGAGAGAAACATCGATCAGCCGTCTCCTGCACATCTCCCACCGGGGATGTGCCTGCAACCCAGGTACATGCCCTTGACCGGAATCGAACCTGGGACCTTTCAGTTCGCAGGCCGACGCTCTATCCACTGAGCCAAACCGGTTTCAGCTGGGGTGCTTCTATTTCTTTCTTCCATTGGGGGCCAGTGTGGTTACTGGGACCAAGGATCCCCCCTCTTCCCCTTCCCTGGCCCTGTTCCACTCATCTCAGTCCTGTGGGCTCCTTCCAGGGTGGGAAGTGCTGCTGCATTCCCACGGGCGCCCGGCTCACCTGCAGATTGGAAATCCCCACGGCCACGATGATCCCGAACATCACGATGAACATGCCTCCGATCACGGGGGTCGGGATGGTGGCAAACGCAGCCCCGATCTTCCCAAAGACACCCATCAGGAGCAGCACGAAGCCCGAGGCGACAATCACCATCCTGCTCCCCACCTGAGGCATCCGGGAGATGGAGGAGGGGCTCAGCACCAGCCGGGCCTCATGCCACCGGGGCCTCCACCCTGCTCCCGGGGACTCACAGCAGCAGCAGCAGCACCTAACCCCAAAGTGGCCCCCCTCTGCTCTCACATGGAATGATGGGGGTGTAGCCAGGTGGCAGCTGAAGACTCAGGTCTGGAGGCCTAACCCAGGCTGGGCCAGAGGTAAGTGGCCTCCCACCCAAATTTCAGAAAGTAAGGCACTTCTCCAGGGTTCACAAAGCCACTGACTCCTCCGGGTGCCAGGATAGGCTTTCTGCCTGTGGAATGGCCACAGCCAAGAAGGGCAAGTGTGGTAAGCGGAAGGATGGTCCTTTGAAGAATCACGTCCTAGTCCCCAAACCTGTGCATATGTCACCTTGCCGGGCAAAAGGGACTTTGCAGATGTGATGACGTCGAAGGTTTTGAGATGGAGAGTATGCTGAGCGATGCAGGGAGGCCTGATAATCACACGGGTCCTGATAAGCAGAGCACCTTTCCTGGCTGTGATTGCAGGGAGATGTGACTCGGAAGAGAGGCCGGAGAGAGGCAGCATTGCTGGCCTGGACGGTGGGGGATGGGGAACCGTAGCCCAGGCATGTGAGGGGCCTCTAGCTGGTGGGAAAAGCCAGGCGGCGGCTTCTCCTCTGGAGCCTCCAGGAAGGAACACCGCGCTGCCAACACCTCTATCTCACCCCCATGAGACCATGCCAGCCTTTCGGCCTCCGGATCAGTAAAGTAAATTTGGGTTGTTTGTAATCACCAAGTTTGTGTTCATTTGTTATAGCAGAAATAGGTGACTAATACATTGAGTGACAGATTTAGGTCCCCCACCTGCCCCCAGGAGCCACCGTCAGCAGCCTTACCTTGGTGATACCCAGTGCCCCGACGTTCTCGCTGTAGGAGGTGGTGCCGTTCCCTGTGCCCCAGGACCCTGCCAGCATACAGCCGAGGCCCTCAATGCCAATGCCGCGGTTGATGGCATGCTTTGGAGGGGGCGGGGCCCCCACCAGCCGGGCACAGGCATAATAATCGCCCACTGATTCCACCATGGAGGCGATCACCCCGGCGATGAACCCAAAGACCCCAGCCAGGCTGATGGTGGGGAGACCCCACTGTCCTGAAAAGGCAATGCAGAGGGAATGTTAATCCAGAAGATAACAGGGTGCTGAACCCCAATAATGTCTTTGCTGGAGGCGTCCCTGGAAGGCTTTGAAGACCGGCAGCATGTCTTCAGCCCCACAACAGCCCAGCAGCTTTGGCTGACTCCTGCCCTATCCTTTCTCCTCGGGGCGGGGCAGACATGCCGACCTTGAGGTCACTGTGCACAAAAAGAGCCAGCAGTGGGGTGTCTCCCCAGAAAGGCCTTGACGCATTTGGAAGGTGAGAGTCTTACTCAGGCCAGGGCAGCCCGTGGAACCTGATTATTCACAGGCCCTGAGCCAAGAACTGCGGGGAAAGCAGGCCAGAAGTGGCTAAGGGATGGCCTTGAACTTGTCTCCCCCAACATGTTCTCATTCAGTCCCAGGCCTCCCTTGTGTGGGATCTAGCGAATCCGAGAGGAGACCCCAGATCTGGCTGGGAGGTGGGGACCTCTCTGTCCTCTCCCCTCTCCCAGGCTCACAGCTCTGAGCAGTGTGGAGGGGGATGAGATGTAAGCCAGCTCAGGGGGAGGCCGAGAGGGGGAGCGTCTTGTCCAGCAGTACAGTAATAAATATGGGTTGTTTGAAGCCACTAAGTTAGTGCTAATTTGTCACAGTAGAAATAGGAGGCTAATTAATTGCGTGACAGATTTAGGTCCCCCACCTGCCACCGTCAGCAGCCTTAGCCTGGTGATACCCAGTGCCCGACATTCTCGCCATTGGAAGGGGTACTATTCTCTTCCCCATAGGATTCTTAGGACAGCCCAGGGGTCTCCTTCTCTTTGGGGTCTGACATGGACTCCCCAAGGCCTGTCCCTCACCATCAGATTCCTTGGAGGAAAACCCACCCCCAGCCCTATTCAACTCTCCATCCCGTGCCCTGGGTCCCACGGGCAGCCCCGGGAAACGTGCCCCAGGCCAGAAGGGTCCCCTCTTCTCATTACCTGGGTAAGGGAAGCGGAACCAAGGGGCTTGGTTCAGGACATCGCCTTTGGTGTCTGTGCGGGCCAGGTACCCGTAGGCGGTGGGGGCCGCGGGGAGGGTGTTGGTCTCCGTGAGCACGAAGCACAGGAGCCAGGAGATGCAGAGCGCCAGCAGCACCTGCCAGAGGAAGGAAGCGCCTTCACCACTAGCTGCCCCCCGCCCCCGCCCTTGCCACCCCTCCCCGAAGGCCCTTCCAGGGACAACGGGAATCAGCTGTGCTGCGGACAATCAGCACATTAACAGAGGGGAGCGGAGAAAATAAACAACGGGGAGCCCTTGTGTCAAACAGGCAGAATGTCTACCAATGTGGGCACTTATTACGTAGTCCGTCTCCCTTTCTGCTGTTTGATGGTCACATGACCTGGGATCAAATCCTCTGAGCCTCAGTGTGCTCATCTGTGCAATGGAGTTACAGTCACTGTACTGTGGAGCCTGAAGCAGGCGTTTTACAGCAGGTCCTCAGATATACGACTTTTCATTCCTGGGGGCTGAATTTTTCATTTCAAGTGACTCATATGCACACTACATTTTGGAACCACTGGCCTACAGGGGCGTTGAAGGATCAATGAGATCACTACATGGAGGTATCGTCTCACAATGTGAAGTGCAGTTCATAGTCAGGTGAACCTGAAAACACCTGCGTGATGGACAGCTGCAGTGTGGTGCACATTCCACAGAGAAGGCTCTGCAAAGGGAGATGCCATCGTCGTCACGGGGCACGTTAATTACCCATGAGTCACTGAGAAAGGACCTGATCTAAGCATCTTGTCCCTTAGTTTTATATAATTAGCCATGAGCCTGGCTGTCTCCCCAGTATCTCGCTGTGAATGGCCTCAGAACAGGAGGAGGCTGTCCCACCCGGTGCCCAGAGCAGCACCCAGGGCAGGATTCTCTGCTCCTGGGAGAGAAGCACTGAAGGGACCCCTGGAATGGCATTACCCCAACGGCCAGGAAGCGTTCCCACAGACCACAGGTGGACTAAGGAAGGTCACGGAGGGGAGGCCACTGCAGATGGGGGACCATTTGATTGGGGGCCATCCGGGAGTACAAGACACTGCCCCTCACTCTCCAGGTGAGTCAACTCAGAATGGAAGAGGGTGGGGAGTACTTCTTACAGGGAAGAGCTGAAACAGGTGGATGCTAGACGTGTGACACTTCTCCTGTCGTCCATAAAGGGGCACAGGCACTGGGATGTGCTTCAGGTATTGAGAAAACAGCATGATGAGGAAGATGGTCCTGAAACAGAAACATGCCACACCCCACCTGGAAGCTGGGGCTGCCCTGAGCAAGGGTCCAGGATGCTGAGTCCCCGGGGGAGGGTCCCAGCCAGGCCCTCCTCTGCAGCCCAGGCAGCATCCTGCCGGCTCTGGGAAGGAGGGCTGTTCCCAGAGAAATAGTGGGAAGTGGGGGGCGGGGGTGGCATTCCCTGTGGGTGGCAGCTGAATGGACCCAGCAGTTGGAGCCCACGAGGCCAGGGTCTGAGATCACCTTCTCTCCCAGGTCATTCTGCAGGGGCTGTGGTCAGACCACAGTGGGCAGAGGGAACGGTAATGTCCAGCATCATCCTCAAGCCCTTCAGAGCTCTGTTTGCTTGTGGGGGCCTCTGTCCAGGAAGCTGTCCTGATGCCCCGATCTGATGTCACCACCCGTCCCTGAACACGCCCGGCATTCTCCCTCTCATCACTGTCTCCTGGCGTCAGCCTTCTCTCACCCACACTGTACTATGAGGCCATGCTTTGCTCCCTTCCCAAGTGCCAGAGGTTTACAAACAGTTGCTCAATGAAAGCCTAGTAGGCAGGGAACTGGTGGTATCCACTTACTGTGAACCCCACACGAAGTATTCTTCACTGCCCATGGTACCCCATAGTCTGTATGTACTAACGACATAGTAAATAGCAGTAATAATCTATATATATAAAAGGCTAAGCAACCGTCCAATAGTCTGACTATCCGGTAGGTATGATGCGCACTGACCACCAGGGGCCAGATGCTCAACGCAGGAGCTGCCGAGCTGCAGTGACTTGACAGTGGTGGTTCTCGGGTGACGCACCCTGAAACCAGAGAGGAGGGAGCCTGATTCCTGAAGGGGCTGTGTGATTCCACCTTCGGCTGTGGGTTATGTTGTTGCTGGGGCACAGTCGGCTCCAAATCTGGTTTACTGCACACGTGTTTGCGTCCCAAACCCTGTACAACAGCAACTTTGCAGAGTGCCCTCTCACACTCCAGGACCCCTCAGGGATGTTGGAGAGCAGGTTTTGGCCCTATCCCCACAGGCCAGGCTGAGGGACCCCACCTGTAGGAGGGACTCTGCTCACTCCGCAGACGCTCTTCGAGCTGCAGCACCGGCCCAGGTGGGACCACGGGAGGTCGGCTCCCGGGCGTGGCCAGCCCATCTCATCCAGTCCCACCCTGCCGGCCACCTTCTAATTAATTTCCTTTCAATGTGCACGAATCCATGCACCCAGCCACTAGCAAATTAGAAGCAGCAATCTCACTGCTTTTCAAGGCATCATAATGTTCTTGGAAGTATTTGAAAAGCACAGAGTTGGCCAATATCCAGGACTCTTGGTATTCTTGCTGAGTCATCTTCCACCAAAGAGATCTCAGGGGGCTCTCCTTCCCCAGAGAGGACTTACATGGCGGCGATCCCCCAGTGGGCCCCGGCATCATTGCCCGCAGAGTCGAAGAGAGGCAGGGCCACCAGGGAGATGGTCGGAGCAATGGTCAAGGGGCCAATGAAGCGCATGAGATAGCCAACCAGTCCTGAGAAGCCCAGGAGCATCTGGAAGCAGGAAGCGGCCATGATGACGCCCTGCAACTGAAGAGCGGGCAGCTCAGGCATCTGGGAGCCTGCAGCAGAGGGCGGGCCCCAGCCCAGCCAGGCCACTGCTTCGGCTGGTCACCCCTGGGTGCTGTAGTCAGAGGCAGTGCAGGGGCAAAGCGGGACCCCAGAGGCACCGAGGGAAGGAGAACTCTGAGCTCACTCCTCTCTCTAGTCTGGACTAGCTGTTGGACATTTTCACTTAATACGAACCTTCTCAGGAAGTAGCCTTCGAAAGCATTTATTGCCCTAGCCAGTTTTCTCAGTGGTTAGAGTGTCGGCCTGAGGACCTGAAGGGTCACGGGTTCAATTCCCGGTCAAGGGCATGTACCTCAGTTGCAGGCTCTATCACCCAGCCCAGGTCAGGGAGCATGTGGGAGGCAACCAAGTGATGTATCTCACATCAATGTTTCTCTCTCTCTCTCTCCTCCATCCCTTCCACTCTCTCTAAAAATCAATGGAAAAATATCCTCAGGTGAGGATTAAAAAAACAAAAGTATTTATTGATCATAGTGATGATGATAATGACTCTTTTTAAAATATATATTTTTATTGATTTCAGAGAGGAAGGGAGAGGGAGAGACAGCTAGAAACATAAATGATGAGAGAGAATCACTGATTGGCTGCCTCCTGCCCACCCCACATTGGGGATCCAGTCTGCAATCTGGGCATGTGTCCTGACCGGGAATCGAACTGTGACTTCCTGGGTCATAGGTCGACACTCAACCACTGAGCCACACCAGCTTGGCCTGCCTTTTGTGGTTTTAACTGAGCATCTATTTGATTCCATTTTATCTCCTTTCTTAGCATTTTCTCTTCTTTTTAAACTTTCCTTTTTGGTGGTTGCCCTAGAGCAGTGGCCAGCAAACTCATTAGTCAACAGAGCCAAATATCAACAGTACAACGATTGACATTTCTTTTGAGAGCCAAATTTTTTAAACTTAAACTAGATAGGTAGGTACATTGTTATTAACTTAATTAGGGTACTCCTAAGGCTTAGGAAGAGCCACACTCAAGGGGCCAGAGAGCCGCATGTGGCCCGTGAGCCGCAGTTTGCCAACCACAGCCCTAGAGTATGTAATATACATTTACGGCTAATCCAAGTTCAGTTTCAAATAACTTTAAAATACTTTATGGGGAGTGTGAGCACCTTACAATAGCACAGTAATCCTAATGTACCCCACCTGTCCATTGCTGTCATTCATTTCACTTAGCAGCCTAAGACTACATAGAAACTACCATGACCCTGGAAGGTGAGGCTAAAACGGGTCTGATTTTAAAAGCTGACCTTGCCATCTCTTCCCTGTTTTCTACTTTTCCTGCTACCACCATGTCCTTAAAACAGAATCTCCGCTCAGTTTCACCTCTCCGTACTTCTCGGGTCCCGGCAGGTAAAGACATCCCTATTGGCCCTATACGCGCCTCGCTCTTGTGGCTGGGATTGTGATGCACAGGTGGTCGGCCGGCCCTCAGCGATTTCAAGACTTGAGACGTGTGTGGACAAGAATAACTCAGTGAAACACGGAGAAGCTGCCTTAAATTCCAACAGGCTGGCCTAGCGAGTAAAACCAATCTATCAAACAATTAATAAAAGGAGGTCGAAACCTGTGACATTCTCCGGTTTATAGCACTGATGAAAGCGTGGGACCAGCAGATGGAGCTCAAGTACCGGAGCTGGGACTCCGGGTTGGGGCTCATTGTACTGAACACTGGGAGGCGATGTGGGAATAAGCGATAGCGTCTATTCCAGCGGTTCTCAACCTGTGGGTCGCGGCCCCTTTGGGGGTCAAACGACCCTTTCACAGGGGTCGCCTAAGACCATCGGAAAACACATATATAATTACATATTGTTTTTGTGATTGATCACTATGCTTTAATAATGCGCAATTTGTAACAATGAAATTGGGGGTCACCACAACATGAGGAGCTGTGTTAAAGGGTCGCGGCATTAGGAAGGTTGAGAACCACTGGATTCCTTCTCATAGGTCAAATATGGGTAGGAATAGGGATCTTGTACCATATCCCTCCTCTGAGGTCCCTCTTCCTTTATGCTTCGGGTTCCGGGGATGTGACCCCGGATGCAGCCATGAGGCTCGGGGGGGGGGGGGTGTACTGAACATGGATGGGGGTGGGCTGCAAGATGCACCCGCTGGTGTCAGGCTTCCTGGCCTGGCTCCCAGGGATATCTAGGGAACAGACTGCTCAGCTCAGGAATGTCCCTGGTTCAGTTCTAGTGAGCCTGCGATAAGTGGGGCAATCCGTGGGGTCACGTTCGGGCCTGAACAGACTTTGTACTGGAGCCCCATCACCGTGGGGTGCTTGGGTAAGCCTGCTCCTGCTCTGCCGCGGGTGACCCCGGGCCCAGCTCCAGACCGAGGTGTTTCAGGTCAGCGGGCAGCTTCCCGGAAATCTGAAGTGAGCTTCATTCTCTCAGATAGTACCCCACCCACCAGCCATCAGGTGAGGATGTTGAGATCTGGAAACTACCTGGTTTACTGTCCCTGGGGGTGTGGCTGAACTCTCTGCCAAGAATCCTGAGTATCGATTGCTTAGATACACCCACCTGGAGCCTGGCCGAGCTTGAGTGCACGTTAGGCCAGCAGCTCCTTTCCCCTGACGATACACCTGAATCAAGCAGGTGTCAGGTTTTACAGTGGAGAAGCACACGGGCACACCTGTCCACGGTGGGCAGACTGAGCGGACAGCCCCCACTAGCAGATGCCTGGTCCTGCACATTGGTTTTCCCCTTAATCTGAGCAATCTACTGTGGATATGGGCAATATGGCGCTTGTGCATCTATGAAAAACTTGCAGCAGCCAAACCAGTTTGGCTCAGTAGATAGAGCGTCAGCCTGCGGACTGAGGGGTCCCGGGTTCGATTCCGGTCAAGGGCATGTACCTTGGTTGCGGGCACATCCCCAGTAGGAGGCGTGCAGGAGGCAGCTGATTGATGTTTCTCATCGATGTTTCTAGCTCTCTATCCCTCTCCCTTCTTCTCTGTAAAAAATTAATAAAATATATTTAAAAAAAAAACTTGCAGCAGAAAGTTGGGAAAACTCTAAGTGCTTAGTAACTGTGACCTGCTGCTACTATCATCACCATCATCACCATTATCATCATCATCACTACCATCATCATCATCATCACCATTCTCCTCCTCATCATCATCACTGTGATGTGTCTCTCTCCTCTTTGCTGTCCTCGCACTTAGCACAACCCTTGGCATCAACAATGGCATTTGATGACTTTTAGAGTCCAGAGTGCTAACCATTACACCATGGGGCCCAGGTTGATGACTTTTAATAGAAGATGAGAGTACTACCCGCTGCCCTCTCTGCCTCCTGGGACTGGCGAGGCAAAGGCTTGCCCTCTTCCTCCTTGAAATATGTGTTTCCAAATAAACCTATTCCTTAGCAATATTTCTAGATACATCTTCAGTCCCTCTTCCTCTTTTCCGCCTGGCAGCCCCAATCCCTCTCTTGCTCATCACCCTGCTTGATTTTCTTTATTACACATATGACTCCCTAAAATTCCCCCTTTTTATTTACTTATTGGGATATTTTTGTCTCTCCCTCCCTCCCTGGCCTGCGCATCCACTCACTGTGACTAGGACAGTGGTCGGCAAACTCATTAGTCAACAGAGCCAAATATCAACAGTACAACGACTGAAATTTCTTTTGAGAGCCAAAGTTTTTAAACTTAAACTATATAGGTAGGTACATTGTTATTAACTTAATTAGGGTACTCCTAAGGCTTAGGAAGAGCCACACTCAAGGGGCCAAAGAGCCGCATGTGGCTCGCGAGACACTGTTTGCCGACCATGGGACTAGGACATTAGGCCCTCCTTGTCTATCTTATCTACAGCAGCATCTTAACGCCCAGGACTTTGCCTAGAGGTGAACTAAACAATGAATGTTGAACAAATGAATCAACACAGTGACCCCCACTGAGTACCCCTGAGGACCCCTCCACTCCACACACCGACCCCACCCCCTCCCTCGGGTCCCGTTACCTCTCGGATCCTCTTCTGCCACTCCTCGGTGAATTCGGGAGAGCTGGTGTTCACCTGGCTCGCATTGAGTGTCCACTCGGGACACTTCCAGGTGGGAAGGGAGAACATGGCCAGGGAGGGAGCCACAAAAGCAAACGTCCCTCCTTGGAGAATGGGCAGCCTGGAGGAGGGGAGAACACAGTCACCCCACAGTTCTTTAGCACTGGTCTGTCACTGCCCAATGGGGGCCTTTTAATCCCAAGTCCTAAGCAGGGTTAGAGGCAACATACGCCTGCTGTCCTCCCTCTACAGGGAGTTCCTGCCAAGCCTCACTCAGACCCATGAACCCTGCCAAACTTCGGGCAGGTAGGAGAGGTGGGGAGGGGAAGGACAAGCAGACCTAACCCCCATCTTATGCCGGGAGCAGAGAGTCAGGCTCTGGGAAATAATCTGGAGACAGCACAGAGCTCAGCACACATGCTTGGTGGGTGCCATTGTCTACCCGGTCCCAGCAGATCTTCCCCAGACCCCAGGACCAAAGCACAGCTCACACCACGACCTCTCCCACCAACAACAGAGGCACAGCCTAACATCTCTGTCGCAAGATTCCCTCGTGTCTTCAAAAATGAACCTCAATCCCAGACCTCTCTACCTTCAGGCTCCTTTCATCACGTGGACAGAATGGGTTTGAGGTCAATAATCAGGGTGTGCTCCCTGCCCAGACCCTTCTCCCTCCTGGTTGGCCTGTCACTCTGGCTGCTGTGAGGACTTCCAGCAGTGCCTCTCGGACTGCGCTTCGAGGAGCACACAGTCTGAGGGTCAACCTCCAACAATCCTCTCACCAGGTCACAGCCTATCAAGGCTAACCTAGTCTGCCCACCCTGGACAATCGAATTCGGGGGTGGGGACTGGAGCAAGGAACCCCAGTACTTGATCACATTCAACACTGTGGCACACCCAGTCCAGATGCTTTTGTTTAACATGAGAGGGGTGGGGTTTTTTTGTTGTTTTTTTTAAAAATATATTTTTCATTGATTTCAGAGAGGAAAGGAGAGGGAGAGATAGAAACATCAATGAGAGTCATCGATCATTGATCAGCTGCCTCCTGCATGCTCCTTACTGGTGATCGAGCCTGCAACCCAGGCATGTGCCCTGTCCGGGAATCGAACCCATGACCTCCTGGTTCATAGGTCGACGTTCAACCACCGAGCTACACCAGCTGGGCTAGAGAGGTAATTTTGAATTCAGGATTTTACTAGGATATCTTGAAGAATTATTCTGGAGAATGACTGGACACATTTTATGAAATGAAAATGTAGTTTATGAAAGATCTTCGCTGTTTAAGTGGCCTTTGTATCCTGGTTGCGCGCTCGAATCAGCAAGGCCCGGTTCAGACGAGGCAGTGGGCTGTCTAGGAGTGGGCCCAGGCATGGGGAGGGCAGAAGCCCTGGGTCATCTTAATGTGCAACTGATCTAGATTTATAAACTAGACCCATAAGGCTCCAGAGGAGAATGGAATACATTGAACACAGGGCAGGAACATGCAGGTGGTGGTAGGGGTATCTGTGAATAACTTTTTAAAATTTAACAACCATGAATCTAAGTAAATTTTCATAATTAATTTCATTTCTACCATAATGGCAACCCCTGTTTTTAAAATTTGCCTGTGAGTATGATTCACTACTCTTCTACACGCATTTTCTGATTTTAATGCCTGTCTTGGAAACTATACACTGCTGCTTTAACAACATTTCAGAGCAAGGAGAGCCCCTTGGAACATACCCACGTGGCCTTGTCATGTTACAGATGGGGAAAGGGCCCAAGGCCACGGACTTAACCAGGAGCTCTCGAGCCTCCTCACCCATCATCACTGCCCTATGACACTGTAATCAGGAGCACGGAGTAGACCAGGGATGGCGAGCCTTCTGAGCTTGGCGTGTCAGCATTTTGAAAAACCCTAACTTAACTCTGGTGCCGTGTCACATATAGACATTTTTTGATATCTGCAACCATAGTAAAACAAAGACTTATATTTTTGATATTTATTTTATGTATTTAAATGCCATTTAACAAAGAAAAATCAACCAAAAAAATGAGTTCGCGTGTCACCTCTGACACGCATGTCATAGGTTCGCCATCACTGGAGTAGACCAAAGGCGAGTGTGAACCTGGTTCCACCTTATCAGTGGCATGACATAGCCTGTTGCCCAGCTGCTGCAAGCCTCAGTGTCCTCTCTGATAAAATAAAGAGAAGGAGGAAGGCCACGGTGGGGGGCTGCCTTCCCTGCTTGCTGCCCGAATCCAAAGTAGAACTTTAAGGAGTCAGAGAATTCTACGTTCAAGCCTGGCCTTCCAGTTCGTGTGCTGGTTCTTTAAGAGAAACATCCAGATAAGAGGATTGGCACCTACGTTATTTAAGAGTCTGTAAGCTTGGTTTATAACCCTGTGGTGTTTAAACAGGGAGTGTGTGGGTCTTGCCAGTATTAGGGGCAGAAACAAGTGATAGCTAAAAAGTCCTGGTGGCATTTGAGTCCCTGGTTCAATACATTCCTGATGCGTGATGTACTCTGACTTTCTCTTTGCTTGATCTTATAAGTTAATAACAAATAATTTTTTGCCTGAGCTAATCTGAACTCATGTGTTGGAGCTAGGACCTGAATGAACCCAGGCTCTGACTGCTAGCCCTGTGCTCCCTCTGTCACGCCCCACCAGCTTCCTAACCACCTTTCTGGCTGCAATCCAGGCACATGTTGCCAATACCTTGGCAGGTGAAAGTCAGAATCCACAGGGAGAAGATGTACCTACCTGACTCCAAAAAACACTTGCAGGAGAGTGCAGATGCCGGAGATGAAGAACATGGTGCTGATGAGGTAGCTCTGGGTGAGGGGGTCATGCTGCAGACACAGGCCCTTGGCCAGGATGAGCGGCACTGCCACGAGTCCCCCCAGGGCAGTGATGAAGTGCTGTGGGCAGAGCAGAGAGAATAGACAGGCACTGCATGAGGTGGATGCCTGCTCCACCTTCGTTCTGACTTCTAGGCCAGAGGCGAGAGCTCCACCTCTAGTCTCAGAGGAATCTGGTCCTGAGTGACAGACAGGCAGAGATCCGGGCGAGCAGTGGGACCCAGAGAAGGCCTGGCAGCAAGAAGCAGGAAACGAGTCCAAAGATCTAGAGTTGAAGGGCAGGACCCTGGTGCCAGACACTGATACCCTGTGTAAGAAATCAAGGCAGGAACACAGCACAGGAGGACATACCAGGAACCAAGGAGGGAGCTTTAAGAACAAGGCAGGAGAACCAAGATAGGTAAACGCCGGTACCCACTGCCTCCCACAACCACATCAAAATTGCAATTAAAATACTGAACAACCATCAGTCAGAGCCGCCTGAAAGCTGGCTGAATGGGAGTCCTACACTTAGAGGAGTAAAGAAGAAAGCACACTGAGACTGGTCGGAGGGGCGGAGGTGCAGATGGGCTGGTCTGACACCCACATGTGCTGTTTTTATCAACCGGGAGGCATATCGGCTGCAGAGGCCTCCTGTGAGGAGCAAGGGGTCCCAGCCCCACAGCAGACCCTCAGCCCAGGGTTTCAGAGCTGAGTAGAGAAGTTCCCGTAACTTCGGACTAAAAACCAGTGGGGATTGTGGCTGAGTGACACAGAGGCTGCTGACCAGGTGTTTCTCTTAAAGGGCTAGCACATGAACTTACTCAGACTCCATCCCTTTGAGCTCTAGTGCCAGGTGGCTTTGGGGGACCCAGGGACATATGGGGAGGAACTGGATTGTCTGGCATCAGGGCAGGAACTTGGGGGCGGCTTTCTCCCAGACAGAGGTGCTTGTGGGGGTCATTGTTCTGGTGCTAGAACCTCTCCCATCCCAAGCTGCCTTACAGCCATATCTGAGTCCCCATTAGCCTGGTACTGTTCACTCCACCTGGTGATTCCCTGAGACTTGCCCCATCCAATTTGCAGCCCCACCCACACTGTTTGCAGAGGCTTTTCCATTTGAAAGGCCTGTCCTAGCTCAGGCTTCAGGCTTTCCTAAAATCTCTCAAACAAGCAGCAGCTGGCAGCAGTGTGCCCCCAACCTATCAATAAAAGGCACAAGACCTGGCACTAGCACCAGCCTGCCTTGCTTCATGCACTTCATGGGCACTTTCAAGCCCAATACAAGTAGCAGCCACCTGCAGACCTCTCTGTAGCTCCCACCAGGTAGCCCCAGGCAGTGGCTGACTTTGCACCTCCTCAGAGGCCCTAGAGCCAGTGCACCCAGTGGTCAGCATCATACCACACCAGATTACAACTCTACACATCCACAAGTGACACACTCAAGGGGCAAACTCAGTGAGCACTAAAGCCCCACTGAAGCAAGTCCTGCTCCATAGGGGTGTCTCCGGCACAGCAGTTCTTCCACTGTAATCACAACTGGTCCTCACTGCCAATTGGCCTGGAGGTCAATTCCTCCCAGTGATGCTAACAGCAATCAAGGCTCAACTACAACACGACAGTACATATAGCCCACATAGGGGCACATCTAGAGTACCCAGCTCAGGTGATTGAAGAGGCTGAGCCACTGGGCTCTACAGGACACCTACTACACTCTACCAATTCCAGGAGACATAGCAGTTCTACCTAACACATATAAACAAATACAGGGAAGCAGCCAAAATGCAGAGACAAAGAAACATGTCGAAATGAAAGAAATGGAAGCAAGCTAACTACTAGATACAGAGTTCAAAACAATGGTTACAAGGTTGCTCAAGGATCTTAATGAGAGCTTCAAGGGAGTTAGTGAGACTTTCAAGGATCTTAGTGAGAATGTCAAAGACATGAAAAAGGACCAGTCAGAAATTAAGCATACACTAACTGAAATAAAGAATAATTTATAGGGAGTCTTTAGTAGAATAGAGGATTCTGAGAATCAAATCAACAATTTGGACTATGAGGAAGAAAAAACACCCAATCAGAAGAGCAAAAAGAAAAAATAATCCAAAAATATGAAGATAGTGTAAGGAGCCTCTGAGACAACATTTGCATTATGGGGGTGCCAGAAGGAGAAGAGAGAGAGCAAGAAATTAAAAACCTATTTGAATAAATAGTGACAGAAAATGTCCCCTACCTGGTGAAAGAAATAGGCTTATAAGTCCAGGAAGCACAGAGAGTCCCAAACAAGAGGAACCCAAAGAGGCCCACACCAAGACACATCATAATTAAAATGCCAAGGGTTAAAGACAAAGAGAGAATCTTAAAAACAACAAGAGAAAAGCCGTTAGTTACCTATAAGGGAGCACCCATACGACTGTCAGCTAATTTTGCAGAAGGAAGAGGTAGAGGAGGAGGAGGAGGAGGAGACAATAAAATGTAAATAAATACATATCTATCAACAATTAGAATCTAAAAATCAAAATAAACAAACAAGAATTCGAATGAACAAAATAAACTGGTGGATAAAATAGAATTAGAGGCATGGAAACATGGAACCGACTGACGATTCTCAGAGGGAAGGGGGAGGGAGGCAGGGAGAGATTAACCAAAGAATTTATATGCATATATGCATTACTTATGGACACAGACAATAGGGGGTGAAGGTTGTGGCAGGACGGGAACTGGGTGGAGGAGGGCAATGGCGGAAAAAAGAGGGACATATGTAATACTCTCAACAATAAAGATTTAAAAGAAATAAAAATAAAATATATTTCCTCTAAAAAAAAGAACAAGAACAAGGTGAGAGGCTCATTATGAAAACAAGGCACAAGGTAGGGGCAAGACAATTGACCAGGAAGACCTGAACACATTCTCCAGAATAGATCCTATGTTGAGTCAAAAAACAGCCATATCAAATTTAAGAAGATTGAAATCATGCCCGGCCAGTGTGGCTCAGTGGTTGAGTGTCAACCCATGAATCAACCCATGGTCAGGGTTTGATTCCTGTTTAGGGCACATGCCCGGATTTCAGGTTCGATCCTCAGAGCGGGTGTGTAAAAGGCAGGTGATCAATGATTCTCTCTTATCATTGATGTTTCTATCCCTCTCTCCCTCTTCTTTCCTCTATCTGAAATAAATTAAAAAATATTTTTAAAAGAAGAAGATTGAAATCATACCTCAAAGGAACTAGAAAAAGAAAAACCTCATCTCAAAATTAGCAGAAGGAAGGGAATAACAAAAAACAGAGCAAAAATAAAGAGGCCAAAAGAGCAATAGTAAAGATCAACAAAACTAAGAGGTGTATTTTTAAAAAATATATTTTTATTGATTTTTTACAGAGAAGAAGGGAGAGGGATAGAGGGTTGGAAACATCAAAGAGAGAGAAACATCGACCAGCTGCCTCCTGCACACCTCCCACTGGGGATGTGCCCGCAATCAAGGTATATGCCTTTGACCGGAATCGAACCAGCGACCCTTGAGTCCACAGACCGACGCTCTATCCACCAAGCCAAACCAGTTTTGGCAAGAGGTGTATTTTTTAAAAGAAAACAAACCATTAGCTAGACTAAGAAAAAAAGAGACAATACAAAGAAATAAAATCAGAAATGAAAGAGGAGCCATTACAACTGATAAAATAGAGACATAAAGTACTGTAAGACACAAATTGGATAAATTCATAGAAACATACAACTTACCAAGACTGAGTCATGAAGAAATAGAAAACCTGAACAGACTGCTAACAAATGAGAAGTTTGAATCAGTAAACTTCCAACAAAGAAAAGCCCAGAACCAGATGGTTTTACTAGTGAATTCTACCAAACATTTAAAGAAGAATTAACACCAATCCTTCTCTCCCAAAAAATTGAAGAGGGAACACTCCCAAACTCATTTTATGAGGCCAGCATATATATAACCTGATACCAAAGCCAGATAAAGATACTATAAGGAAAGAAAACCATAGGCCAATGTCCTTATGAATATAGATGCAAAAATTTTCAACAAAATACTAGCAAATGGAATTTAACAGTAGATTATAAAGATTATACACCATGACCAAGTAGGATTTATTCCTGGGATGCAAGGATGGTTCAACATACACAAATCAATAAATATGATACACTATATTAATAAAATAAAGGCTAAAGTCATATGATCATTTCAATAGATGCAATAAAAGCATTTTACAAAATTCAACATCCTTTCATGATAATATACCTAAATTAACCATTTTGTTGGCTTATGATATTTTAAAAACAGTATGATAGCCCTAGCCTGTTTGGCTCATTGGATAGAGCATTGGCCTGTGGACTGCATGGTCCCAGGTTTAATTCTGGTCAAGGGCACCCACCTCGGTTGCAGGCTCCCCACCATGGTCGGGGTGTGCGGGAGGCAACCTATCGATGTGTCTCTCACATGGTATTTCTTTCTGTCTCTCCCTCTTCCTTCCACTCTCTCTAAAAATCAATGGAAAAAATGTCCTCAGGCGAGGATTAAAAAGCAAAACAGTATGACATTTACTCTTCTTATTTTATAGAAAAGCACAAAGAAGCAAACAAAAATGTATATCCCATCCCCAATATGCCACATGGAGTTTGTAAAAATTAAAAGAAACACATATATGAGATTAGAAAATCCATGCAATCAAAAGTTACAAAATAAAAAGTGACAGTTGAAAGCTACAGTTAAATATCTCTGTTAGTTTCTTATGAATCCTTCAAAGCATACAAAATTACTACATATACTTATTTCTAACATCCTCTTTATCACACTATGCGCAGTTATTTACTTTGCTCTTTTCACTTAATATATCTAGGAGGACATTCCCTAACCTCACGGTAAATACATATTTCTCTTGTTAACAGCTGCATAAAAACGTCATTTGTTAGATTATGTCACAAATTATTTAACCGGTTTCCTATGATGGACATTTTGTGTGATTATTGTGTGATTTGGGTCTTACTATTACCAATAATGCTATAAGTACATCTTTGTGTTTATCTTAACGAGTCTAATAAGCATATCCTCAGAGAAATTCTGATGTCTCGGGGGCTGGGTTAAAGGGTATATGTGTATTACGTTTTAATAGAAATCACCAAATTGTCATCTAGAAAGGTTGTACCAAAGAACATTCGAACAAAAGCGCTTGCTTTTCAAAATTTCCCAGGTATTGGTTATCACGCTTTTTAGTTGTTGCCAATCAAATAAATTAAAAGTAGTATCTTTACAAACAACAACAAAACACACCACAACGTCCTAGTCATTGTCTTTAGAGAAAGAGACTCCTCCTTAGTTCCCTCCCCAACCCCGAAACTCCTGGAGAGAAAGAGGGGCCCAAGAAGCCCGAGTTCCCTGGGAGGTCAACTACAAGGAAGACAAGCATATCCACAACTCAAGTGCGGATCTTGACTAATTGGACCTGGGTGCCTACTGCTGTGGCTTTGGAGGCAGAGCCTCTTCGGACCCAGTGCTCGCTGGGTGGCATTACCTGGATCCCCAAGATGATGCAGAGATACCACGGTGGGATGTCCAGGATGCCATAGGCCAGGTCGCTGCTGCTGGGACTCCGGTGCTGGCCATCCTTCTTCCTGCCTTGGCCATCATCATAGAAGGTGAGCATGCCATCACCCTTCTGCTGGGAATAAGATAAGGACACACTTGGGTCTTTCCAGAGGAATCAAGTGGACTTCCTGATTTCAACCATACAGATGGATGGCTTCCAGAGGCCAGAGGCACGAGACAGGGGTAACTGTTGGCCAGCTGGGGATTTCTAGGTGCAAACTCAAAAGGCCAAGGGTTTTCTGTATTGCACCTCGCAGCAGGGCCTCCATGCGAAGTCTGGGGCCATGCAAAAGGAGTGGATGCCGAGCCAAAGCCCTGGCAGAGAAGCAGCTTTGTGCAGGAAGGGGTGGGGTCAATGCCAAGGTCAGAACGTGGGCATGTTTTTCTCCCAACCAGTCAGGAAAGTGGGGATCCTGGTCCCGGAATGGTGTAGCTGCCCCAGGCCATGTGTTGACGTCTGCCAAAGCCCTCATCACAGCACGTTTATTATAATGAGCGGTTTCCTCGTGCATCTCTTCTGCTGGGCTGTGAGGTCCTAGAATGCATCGATTGTGCCCTTGGCCTCCCATGTGCGCCTGTGATTGAGCTGACAGGGCTGCGGCGGGTGCAGTCGTGTGTGTTCCACCAGCGAGCTCACCTCACACCCTCTCCCAGGACCTCTCAGAATTCTCAAGGTGATGGAGAAGGAAACATGGGAGGGGAAACTGTTGGTTCTGGACCTTCTTGTCTTTTTTCCTATTGAGAGACAATGCCTCAAAGACTGTTCTCAGCATGATGACCTCTGAATAGAGTTGATATGTCTCCATATCAACTAGGACCATCTAAAGCAGAGGTTCTCAACCTGTGGGTCGCGACCCCTTTGGGGGTCGAATGACCCTTTCACAGGGGTTGCCTAAGACCATCGGAAAACACTTATATAATTACATTACGATTCATAACGGTAGCAAAATTACAGTTATGAAGTAGCAACGAAAATAATTTTATGGTTGGGGGTCACCACAACATGAGGAGCTGTATTAAAGGGTCACGACATTAGGAAGGTTGAGAACCACTGCTCTAAAGGTTATGGCAACCACTTCTACATGTGCTTTAAAACGATGCCTGGGAAACTGACCTTGCATGAGGTTCCAAATAAGAAAAACTTTTAGAACATGGAGCTGGGGTGGGGGGTGGGGGCTGGGGGGAGGGAAGGGGAGGAATGCGTCTCCCTTGAGAGCAGCTGGTTCTTTCTGTCTAAGAAGAGTATGTGACTCTCTGAAGCCCATGAGTCGTGGCTGGAAAGCACAGAGCCCAGTCAAAATATGACTTTTGTTGTTAACTACCTCACGTCACTTATGGAAGAGATGGGGCAAACAAGCAACAAGACAAACACACGGTGTGCCTGAAGATTCCTGTGCATCCGAGAGGGATCATTAGCACACTGAAGACCCACACAGAAACCAGTGATATTCCAGAGACATTGGAGAGCAGGGCTTCTCCAATGGAGGTGGAAGATCCCAATATGGGGAGTACCTTTATCCCTGGAGAACCCCCTGCCGGGGAGAAGGCTGTGCATGTGACTCACACAACCGCAGGAAAAAGCTTGGGAACCCCTTTTCGGACGGAGAATGGATTCTTAATGGAGCGACCCCTGCTGGTGAGCACTGGTATGAGAAGAGGGGCCACACCTCTTTGGGGTGGAGCTGAGTTTTCCAACTCAGCACATGGGCTGTCATTTCACCGAAAGAAGCAGAAAGAAGCATTCTGGTGCGGCTTGCCATTGTGTGGTGCTTCCCAGAGCACAGGGAGCTTCCGAGCAGCCTCTCGTTTGATTCTCACCCTCATCTTACCACTCCCCGGTTCACAGGTGAGGAAACAGAGGCTCAGGGAGGCTGGTCCGAGACCCCACTGTGAATGGGAGAAGGGCACCCTCCTCTTGGCGTCTCCCTTGTGCAGAGAGGGAGGGACAGCCCTCCAGCTCTCTGGGGCAGAGCCAGAGGAGCCGGGTGCAGGGGCAGCTGCCGTGGAAAGGGGGTGGTCTCGGGGGAAGACGGGTAACTTTCTCTGACTCCATCCATACACACAGCCTCCCATCCCGCACTCCACCCTCCAGGCTCATTTCCTACCACTCCCATTCACCTGGCTGTAGCCCATGGGACTGCCCAGGTCTCTCCAAATGAGGCCTCCCTTATCCTGCACCCAAGGGCCCAATGTCTCCTCCTCCATCACCTCTCCCCATGCCCCACCCTGTGTGAGTTTCCTGCCTCGGACTCCTGGCGCGTTTTGTCTCCCTGTCCTGTAATTAACCGTTTTCTCCCCTAAAGTAGAAATAGTTCTGTGTACCCTGCTTTCCCCTAGTTAGGCCATAAGCTTGCAAGGTCGAGAAGCTATCTTCCCGTGTGTATAGCCCTAGAAGTTTCTAGCAGAGCAACATACTAGTACAAGTGAAAACCACACGCATCCCAGAACAGCGCCTTCTCTCATGTGGGTGCTGAAGTTGAGGCTTTGAGGAAAATGAAGAGAAGACAGGCCACTCAAAGGAGACGGATACGTGCCCAGGCCCCTCCACACGCCCACTGGCCCAGGTAAGCCCAAAATGTGGCCAACATCACAGCCTTCAGAAAAGGGAGTCTTCTCTGACTTAAGGTTTGTTTTGTTTCCGGTTTCTTTGTGGAGGGGTGGGGGGGCTTCCGTGACATAGTGGTAGAAATTATTCTGGGGAGAAGAAAGGAGCGTTCTCTCAGGTGCCCCCACGATTTTCTAGAAGGGGGGCCAGGGCCTCTTGACCAGAGGCTGCCCAGCATGAGCAGGCCCTGGCAGACGGGCTCCAGGAGACAGCGCCGAGAGCCCAGCCCAGATCCGAGTCCTGCAGACACTTGGCTGGGCCTCACTAGGGCTGCAGCCCTGGCCCGGCATGCAGGGAGGGGCTCCTGCGCGGTGGGCAGTGGCCAGAGCCCAGTCCCCCCCGATAGGTTCCGGGGGCCAAAATAGGTTGCAGAGGTGGTAGGGACAGGGCTCAGAGGTTACCCTGACTTCACTTCTCTGGGCCTCGGGTTCCCCGTTTGTAAAATGGGGGCAGAGAGCTTGCTCCATGGGCTCCAAAGGAACGAAATAAAGTATATAAAGTGCCTGGGGCATTTTGGCGGTTCAGGAAATATCAGTTCTCTCTTTCTCTTTCTCTTTCTCTTTCTCTTTCTCTTTCTCTCTCTCTCTCTCTCTCTCTCTCTCTCTCTCTCTCTCTCTCTCTCTCTCTCTCTCTCTCTCTCTCTCTCCTTCCCTTTCCTTTAGCTTTGCTTCAGAAAGGATTTCTGATAAAAGGAATCATAACCTGAGAAACCTGGAGAACAAACATTTAGATCCAACAGAGTTGACCTGTGAGTAAAGGTAAAGCTGAGAATTTCCCACCTCTTCCTCCCTTTGTAATTTATTCACAGAGGCCAGCACTGTCTTCCTCCCTTTGTAATTTATTCACAGAGGCCAGCACTGTCTTTGTCCCTTTGTGACTCATTCACAGAGGTCAGCGCTATCTTTGCTCCTGGGGATGGTGAGGTGCCAGCACAGCTGCCACCCTTGTCTAACAGTCGCAGATCTTTAGCTCCTAAGCCATCGCTCAGTCCTTCGCACTGATGATGAATCAGGCATTGGGGCTCCATGCTGGGCCCCACCAGGGCTCCTCTGTCCTTGCAGCCCACTCTCCGCCCCCCTCTCTCTCTCTCCCCAGAACTCACCGAGGGGTCCGGGTGCTCACGGCTGGTGATGGCAGGGTTCATGGCAATCGGGGTCTTTTCCTGTGGGTGTCCTCTCAGGATAGAGAAGAACTGAAGCCTCTCTAGTAGAGAAAGGTTAACTTCTCAAAGCCTGCTGAAATAACAAGGAGAAAGACAGGCATCCCGGCTGGCTCTGGGGAGGGTGGGGCCTCCAAGCCCCGCCCGCTGATGGACAACGGACTCCCCAACCCCACCTCATCCCGCCCCCAGTCCTCTCCCTCTCTGGTCACTGCAGGGGACCAAGGTGCATTCTGCTGTAGCCAGCGTTCACACTTTGACAGGTTAGGGCAATTACAGAGAAGTTAATGACCCCCTTAACACAAGGAAACAAGTCAGGGCACAGCCCCTCGGGGTGTGGCAGGAGCGCACTTTCCAGAAGCCGGGATGGGAGGTGAGCGGGTGAGTGAGGGTGAGGCTCTGGGCTGAAGCCAGAGACTTCAGTTTTCTAAAGCTGGTTCTAGTGACTAGTTGAGCTGGAATGCAAACATTGCAAACATCGCCCCGTGGGCCTGGCTCCTGAGATGCATTCATGAAGTCATTAATGAGGAAAAGAGAATTACCGTTGACCTGGGAGCAGCTGCCAATGCTCCTTGTTGGGGCAAAGCTTCAAGAGAGAGCCTGAGAAGAAATGACTTCAGTCCTTGGGTGACTGTCTCTGTAACAGCCAGGAAATGTCTAATGACCCACCTTCTGGGAAGAGAAATTCAGGAGGGTGTCATTGCTCTTATTCCGGACAGGGTATTTGGAAGGCTCTATAAAAAAAACTCTTGATAAAGCCCACTCTGTGAAGTTCATAGTTACTCAGGATGATGGAATGTTCTGGAATGGGCGGCACTGAGTCTCAAGATTCTGGAAGCACATAGCAGTATGCACACGGCCGTCAGTGGGAGCTGGTCCAAGAGCAAGCCCTGAAAAACACAACAATGAGACTAGATGTATCATGCGGGAGGAGACAGGCCTGATCTGGGCTGTGACAGAAAGCAAAGGTCATAAGAGAGTCAAAGGTCACAAAGTAGCTGACCTCCACGGAACACATTGCCACCGACACTACACTCTGTTTTATATGATCGTGTTTTATGTTCACCACAGACCAGCATTCACATCCTTCTTTCACGGATTGAGAAATTCAGGCTGGATGGGTTGAGTGTTTGCCCAAGGTTATAGCAAACACTGGAACTGAAATTCAAATCCAGACTATCAGGTTCCACAGCCCTCGGGGGTCAAGGAGATGCCAGATGGCAATGTGCAGGCCGTGCGGGTCTGAAAATGGGCAGGCTGAGGCTCAGGGAAGATGTTGGCCACGGAGGAGGTCCCCCACCCTGTCCCTGGATGAAAACACTGATCCTCTACAAATGGCACCCAGGGGCCTCAAGTTCGCCTCAGAAGTGAAGGTCAGACTGAGCTTCGTGGGGGGGGGGGGGGGCACGGCTCTGCATCTGTTGGGCTCCCCAAACACACTAAATGGGCAGTTCCCTGAGCTGGACAGTTATGCGGTGAGGACAGAGAGCAGGTACCCATGTTCAATGGAGCGGCCCAGGCTTTGTCACCCACAGGAGGCCTGGCTGGTGTGGGCCGGAGGGGAGCCGCCTCCACTGCCCACCGCAGCCCCACCCTCGCAGACCTTCGGGCACGGGCAGAGTTGGGTTCACACTGGACATCTCTTCTCCATGTTATACCTTTGGGGCAACATGGAAGAAGGGACTTTACAGAGACTCTGCCCTGCCCGCACTGCAAGTCCTGCCTTGCCTGGCTTTGCCCTCCCTGCTGCTTGTCTAGGCACACAGTTCAACTCCTCTGAGCGGGAGGTAAAATGGTGTGGGTTAGCAGCCCAACGGAGGCAAAGCAGAAAGATGGTCTCCTGTTACCACTTCATTTGATTGCCTGTACACTGTTTCAGAACTTTCTTTTTTTTTTAATATATATTTTTTATTGATTAAGATATTACATATGTGTCCTTGTCCCCACGTTACCCTCTATCCCCCCCTCCCCCCCCCCCCCGCTCATGCCCTCACCCCCCCGTTGTCCATGTCCATTGGTTAGGCCTATATGCTTGCATATAAGTCCTTTGGTTGATCTTTCCCCCTTACCCCCACCCTCCCCTACCTTCCCTCCAAGTCCCGACAGTCCAATCAATGCCTCTCCGTCTCTGGATCAGTCCTTGTTCATCAGTTTATGTTGTTCATTATATTCCACAAATGAGTGAGATCATGTGGTATTTATCCGCTCTCCAGTTCCATCCATGCTGTGGCAAATGGTAAGAGTTCCTTTTTTCTTCTTCCTCTTCTTAAAGAATACCTTTCAGCATTTCATATAATGCTGGTTTGGTGGTGATGAACTCCTTTAGCTTTTTCTTATCCGTGAAGCTCTTTATCTGACCTTCTATTCTGAATGATAGCTTTGCTGGATAAAGTAATCTTGGTTGCAGGTTCTTGCTATTCATCACTTTGAATATTTCTTGCCACTCTCTTCTGGCCTGCATGGTTTCTGTTGAGAAATCAGCTGACAGTCGTATGGGTACTCCCTTGTAGGTAACTAACTGTTTTTCTCTTGCTGCTTTTAAGATTCTCTCTTTATCTTTTGCTCTTGGCATTTTAATTATGATGTGTCTTGGTGTGGTCCTCCTTGGATTCCTTTTGTTTGGGGTTCTCTGCGCTTCCTGGACTTGTAAGTCCATTTCTTTCACCAGGTAGGGGAAGTTTTCTGTCATTATTTCTTCAAAAAGGTTTTCAATATCTTGCCCTCTCTCTCCTTCTGGTACCCCTATAATTCTGATGTTGGTACGCTTGAAGTTGTCCCAGAGGTTCCTTACACTATCTTCATATTTTTGGAATCTCTTTTCTTTTTTCCTTTTCGGTTGGGTATTTTTTGTTTCTTTGTATTTCAAATCTTTGACTTGATTCTTGGGATCCTCTTGTCTGCTGTTGGATCTCTGTAAATTATTCTTTATTTCAGTCAGTGTATGCTTAATTTCTAGTTGGTCCTTTTTCATGTCCTCCATGGTCTCACTATACTTATTGAGGGATTCATTAAATTTATCGGCGGTTTCCATAAAATTCTTGAAAAACCTTATAAACGTGGCCTTGAACTCTATATCCAATCGTTTGGTTTCCTCCATTTCTGCCATTTGTGACCTGTTTCTTTGTCTCCGCATTTTGGCAGCTTCCCTGTGTTGATAGAGTGGCCCTGCGCGCCAGGTGTCCTGTAGGGCCCAGTAGCTCAGCCTCCCCAGTTACCTGGGGTGGACACTCTTGGTGCACTCTTGGTGCCTTGGTTGTTGTAGGATCACTGGGAGGAATTGACCTCCAGGCCAATTGGCTGTGAGAATCAGCTGTGTCTAAAGTGGGAGAACTTCTGTGCTGAAGACACCCTTCTGGGGCAAGACTTGCTTCCGTGGGGCTTTGGTGCTCACTGAGTCTGCTCCCTGAGTGTGTCCCTTATGGATCTGAGGAGTTGCAATCTGGATGGTCCCCCTCTGACCACTGGGTACAGTGGCTCCTGGATCTAAGGAGGTGCTAATTCAGCCTCTGCCTGAGGCCACACAGCAGGAGCCACGAAGAGGCTCAGCTGTGAAGCAATGCAAGCCGCTGCGGGGCCTTGGGCCTTCTCTTGGAAGTTCCGGGTCTGCCTGGCTAGGCTGCAGTTAGGTACATTCACATGCAAAAGCCTCTGCCGCAGCCTGGGTGGGGCGGGGTCTCAGGGAATCAAAGGGCGGATCAAGGAGCTATGGCTGATTCTCCGCCCGGAGTCGCGGGTCTCAGTGACCTGCTAATTGCTGCAAGCACCTCTGAGGGAAAGCCGCCTTCAAGTTCACCCGCTGCCGGACAGACCAGCTTCTCCCCGTATGAGTCCTGGGTCCCCAGAGACTTCCCGGAACCGGAGTTCAGAGCAGTCGGGAGCTTGTGATTCAAAAAGACAGCCGTGTCCTCAGGTGCCACCCCCTGTCCTCGCGCGCGCACGCGAGCCGGCCGTACCTCTGCACTTGTACCTCTGCACTTCACCTCTGCAGCTCCTCTGGCTCTCAGCGTGCTTTTCTTTCCTTCTAGTTGTAGAATTTACACTCAGCCAGCCTTCCTGTTGTTCTGGATGATGTTTGCTCTGTCCTTTGCGGTAATTTTCAATTGTTGTGTGAGGCGGCAATTTCCCGGTGTTTACCTATGCCGCCATCTTAGTTTTTCGAGTTAATGAGATCCTTCCAGAACTTTCTTCATTCTTCATCTTCAAGTCCTCGCTCTCTTCAGGGCCTGGCACGTGGTTCCTTGTACAAGTCCTGTCTGCATCCAACCTTTGGCTTGTGGTCACTGCTACTATCTGTGGAGTCCCTACCTTCCTCAGCTGCTCAGGCGAGGAGCTAAGCTTTCCTTCCCTCAGAAGTCACTGCTGCAGTCTTTGCTTCCTCCACTCATTGGCCTGGCTTGCCTCCTGTCAACATCTCTCATCCTAAAGCCACTGTGGTACCCCACAACTCTCCCACAGCTTCAGCCGCCCAGCTGGTGGCCTTGACTTCCCTCCCCAGCTGGAGTCATCCTTGATTTACAACTTCATGGTCTGAATAATCCCCATACACACAGCAGCTTGAGGTTCACCGCACGCCCCCAGCACATTCACAGGTGATTATTTATGACCCTTGTGCTACGGAATGAGTTACGGAAATCTAGTTCTACTAATTAGCAATGGGAGGAATTTGTTTTAAGAATATGGGTTCTCTCTGGGAATTCATGATCTTTCCTCAAATACACAAAGGAGCTAAAACTCTTCCATTACATTTCCTCACAAAAGCTCCCAACCCCAAATTTGAGGCAGTTGCTCAGCCCGCCCGCCCCCCCCCCCCCCCCCCCCCCGCCTTCCCGTCACGACGCTTTGGGAGAAAAAAGGCACCCGGACTCTTAGTTTACAATGCTGATGGCCCCACTGGAGACACCATCTTTGCATGCGAAGTAGGCTAAGCAGGAAGGCTCGGGCCTGGGCCTTTGGGCATTGAGGTCGGATAAATTGGCAGTTGGCTATTGTAGGAGGGAACATGCCAAGAGACAGTCATGGGGCAAATCACAATTGACAAGAGCAAACGAGGCCAACAGGGTTTCCAAAGAGCAGGTCCAATGAAACTGTAGGTGCTGCTCTTGGTATTGCCTTTCAAATCCATTTAGCCTTCTCTCATTTTCCTCTTTTTTA